GCAGTGCTGTGGGTGCTCAGGGATTTCAGGGATCCTGTGCCATGGGCAATCTGGTTGCTCCAGGCACAGTTTTCACAAGATAAATAGGAAAAGAGATGACCTGAAGCTGTTTATTCTTTTACTCCTTCATCCAGGCAAGGTGACTGCACTCACATCTCAGGAGAGTACCAGAAGACCAGCACCCCTGGCAAATACACCTACTATAATCCTAGTAAGTTGGGCTCACTGCTGGCCTGCTGAGCCCTAAGAGCTGCTGTGTGCTCACAGGATGTGAATCAGTGCCAGGCCTCAAAGGATACAGCTGGTGGCTGGGGAAGTGGTTCAAGGGAGCAGGGCTCAGGGAGAGGAGGTTGCTCTGTAGCGTGGGTTGTTTCCAGACAAGGAAACAGGGTCTTAGGGAAACTGTTTCAGAGCTGCCTGCATAGGTACAGGACTATGAGATATTCCAGCAGATCTGTCTCATCCCCAGGGTCCCAATCTGGGACAGGCTCCCACCAGCCACATTTAAGGAGCATTGATGGTATCTCAGTTGTCTGCAAACTTTGGATTCCAGTCCCCTCAACTAATAAGAGGCTGGTGAGGTGAAAGCGTGTCAGGGTTGTGCCTGCCTCCTAATAATTTCATAATTTCCTGAATTAGCTGCTTGATTTCACCCCCCAGCTCTGTCACTGTCGTCTATACCTGTTCCTTCCTGAGGGGCAGGAATGATGCCCCCTGTATTGCTGTCTCACCTAGAATGGGATGTGTCTATCAAGTCCTATGTGCTTCGCACCAACTATGAAGAATACGCAGTCATTCTGATGAAGAAGACAAGTAGTTATGGTTCAACCACCACACTGAAGCTATATGGTATGTCTGGCTATGGCACTGTGGGCAAGTAGGCCTTTAGGTGGGCTCAGTAACACCACTCTTTGCTTGTCTTTGAGGGACTTGAGTGTGGCTTTGGAGGTGGTGCCTTGAGTCAGCTCATCTTTGACACCAAAGAGGTTGAGTTTTATGGCTCACTTTTAGAGCCACATCACACAATTCAAACCAGAGTGTTATTTGGGATGAACAAGATTTGCTTGGGAAACCCAGATCCTGAAGTTGCAGGAGATGCTGTCTTTCATGACTGGGAGACATGTAAACAATGTTAACCAAGCCCTTGACCAACTCTGGTCAAGAATAATGGAGGAGAGGTTGGTAGGACTTGTACTGGGCCTGCAGCTGCCTGGGCTCTGCAGGTGTGTGGCTGCTGGGGGCTCCACACAGACTCTTGCCACTGCTGACCCTGCTGACAGCCTGTCCCTTGCCCTTGCCAGGGAGAAGCCCAGAGCTGCGGGAGGACCTCACCGATGCCTTCCGGCAGCTGGCTCTGGAGATGGGCATCCCTGCGGACTCCATCTTCATCCTGGTCAACAAAGGTAATGCATGCAAGGCATGTGCCTCTTCTGCTGCCTGTGCCCCTGACGTGATGGTGTGCTGAGGCTGCTCCTTCTTGGTCTGCAAGGTTGGGGAGAAGAAGGGAGGGCCAGGATGGAGGGAGGAGAGATGACAGCTTTGTTGGGATGAGGTAGAAAGGGGACCACCCCTCTCAAGCTGCTGATCTTCTCTTCTGTCATCTGGGCCAGGTGAATGTGTCCCCCAGGAGACTGCCACCGCCCCCGAGGTGAGTGCTCCAGCCAGGACCTCCTGGAATGAATTAAGGATGGGAATGGGCTTTGCCTGCAAGGACAGGGCACAGGCTGCAAGGACAGGGGTCACAGGTGCATCAGGTGTTGCTAGGGCTCACTTCCAAGTAGAAAGCAATGTCCCTTTCCGACTCTGATTCTTTTGTAGGGTAGAAGTTGCAGCACATGAAGCCTGGTGTCTCTGTGCCCTTTGCCTGCTCCTGAGTGCTCCAGCTGGGCTGAAGACTCCCTTCCCCAGTGGGGGAGGCAGCTCATTGCCCTACTAATGCTCCAGCTGCTGTCATCCAGCACATCCCAGTCTTGTAGTGTTGAGTTTAAAAGTTTTTTCAAGAGGGGATGGGACTTCATAGGAGAAACAGTCCAGCTGAGGATAGATACATCTGGAGATTGCAACACCCCGTGTCAGTGGGAGCAGAGACATGTCCTCAGCCCGGCATAGGGCATGGCCAGGGCACTTTGGGTGTCTTTACCCAAAATGCATGATTCTGTCCCATGTCTGGGATGAGCACAGGGCTCAGAAGGCCACGACTGACCCCAGGCCGATGAATGATGTATGGGGGCACTAGGGGAGCTTGTCACCAGAGGCAGAAGGGCAGGCAGGGCTGACAGCAGCTTTGTGCTTCTTTATCCCGGAGCAGAGGGCGCGGAGAGCAGTGCTGCCACCTGAGGAGGGCTCAGCCGCGGGACCCTTGCCCCCATATGTTGGCAACAAGGAAGGTGGGTCCTGGCAGAGGGGCTGTGGCAGGCGTCCCTGCGCCCCCTTGTCCTGCCACAACGCGTGTTGTGCTCACCTGCAGATGCATGCCGGCTGAGCCGGGACCCTGGGCCCTGCAGCGGGATGCTCTCCCGCTTCTTCTACAATGTTTCTTCCATGGCCTGTGAGACCTTCCTCTATGGTGGCTGCCTGGGCAATGGCAACAACTTCTACTCAGAGAAGGGCTGCTTGCAGGCGTGCCGGACTGAGGGTGAGCAGGCATGGGGCTGGGCAGGGGGTGAAGGGATGTGGAGGGTGGGTGAGGTGAGGCCTTCACCCCAGCCCCAGAGGGGACTGCGTGCAACCCCGAGCCCTGTGTGTCCACGGGGGTCCTGGTCCTGCTGGCCTGCCGCAGCCCCCTCTCCCTGCAGCTGCCTGCAGGCTGCCCATCGTCCAGGGGCCCTGCCAGAAGCCAGTGCTGCGCTGGGCCTTTGATGCGGCTCAGGGCAAGTGCATCAAGTTCAGCTACGGAGGCTGCAAGGGCAATGGGAACCAGTTCTACTCGGAGAAGGAGTGCAAGGAGTACTGCGGGGCTCCTCCACTGGCAGGTACGGCACTGCAGTGTGTCAGGGGCTGGGGCAGCAAGCGGGTGGGCACTGCCTGCACATCTTGTCTGCTCCAGACTGCATCCAGGAGCACTGGGTCTGCCGGCAGCTGGAGTGGGTCTGTCCTGGGTCCAGTCCTCTGACGGACCAAGGAAAAGATCATCAATCTACAGACAGCATCACACATGGGGAATGTGTGTATAGGCTGCAGATGCACCAAGGCTGTTGAACTTAAAAATGTTTGTGGTAACAGGGGTAAAGGCCCCGAGGAGGCCAGAGTGCAGTCGGGAGCAGTGGAGGTGGCAGAAATGTCAGTGGGAGTAGCAGCTGAAAAATTTGAAGGGGTAAAGGGACCCTGACACCAAATAGGGACCCTGGGTGCACCCAGAGTGTACCCTCCATGCGATGCCCTCCAGAGCCTCCAGATCTAGTCAGCACAAGGGTTTCCATATTGAAACCCTTTTGGAGAATCTAAAGGCCTGCTCTGCCCCCAGGACAGATGGACAAGCATTCTCATTTTCATCAGTGTAGCAGGGGAGATCTTACTGCAGAAGAGAGTGAGCTCAGGGACATTCAGCCACAGCCCTGCATGAGCCTGATACTGATAACGGCAAGCAGCAGGAGCTGGGTGGGAGCCCAGCAGATGGGGAATGGGGACAAAGTAATGGGTCTCAGGACAGAACCCATCTTTTATTATCTTGTCACCAGTATAAAGTGTATTAATGCCACTGAGGTGGGATATGAAGTAACATCCCTGGACAGCAAAGGGATGTACAGAGAGTCCAGACTGCTTCCCTTATCACTGACAGCAGGGACAAAGTGACAAAGCAGGAAGCATCAACCATTGCCACCTGTCTGTGGGGCATGGCGGGGTGTGAGGATGGGGTCTGTGGGTCTGCCTGTCATACTGCACACTGCTCTGCTTGCAGAGGATGAGGAGTTTCTGCATCTGTCAAACTGATGTGGGTGGAAGACGAGCACCAAGCACTGGAACAAGGGCCTCGCATGAGCTCCTGGTGGTGCAGGAGATGTCTTCAACAGTAAATGTCTTTAAAGTAACCAACAAGCCTAGTGTCCATCCCAGAGCCGGCGATGAGCGGCAGAGGATGCTGTTGAGTCCTCACTGGCCTCCCCTGTGGTGTCCCTCCTGGCAGGGCTGCTGGGTGCTGTCCGCTCAGCCCCTGTCCCTGCCTCAGTCCTGCTGCCCACCACCTGCATGGTGCAGGGGTGCCAACAGGGGCAGCCAGGGGCTCTGACGTCCTGCTGGGTGGGGGCAGACGGGAAGGAAGCAGCATGGGGGGGCCAGGCACCTGTTCCTCCCTGAGGGTGAATAATCAGTGCTGCATCTCACGGATGGGGCACGGTGGCACCACGGGTTTTGGTGAGGCTCTCTCGCTGTGCAGTCTGAGCCTCATCCTTGGTGTGAGCAGACCCTGTGGGTTGTGCCCCCCCAGGACACTGGGGGCCCTGGCACACGTGAGGGGGAGCCCAGCACTGGGGGTGCTCAGAGCCCAGAGCCTTGCTGGCACCCCTGGGCCTCAGCTTGGAACTGGAGATGGGGGGCACGGGGTGGGGGGCTGCGGGCTCACGGGAGGCTGGGAGGGACGGGGAACGATCACGGGGAGGGCTGGGGGTTCTGGAGGGGCTGTGGGAGAGGACTGGGGGGGGGCGGAGCAGACGGGGGGGGTCCCAGGAGGGGGCTGTGGGGCTCGCGGGTCACAGGGGACCATGGGGGGGTCCCAGGAGGGGACTTCGGGGGCACGGGGGGGGTCACAGGGAGACGGGGGGGGTCACGGGGCAGGACCAGGGCCCCTGCAGTGGTCACGGGGGGCTCGGAGGGAGACGGAGCAGTGCGAGGGGCTGCGGGGGCGGGGGGCGGGGGCGGGGGCGGAGGGGTCCCGGTGTGCGCGGGGCCAGCCCCCGCCCCGCCCCCCCGGCCCCGCCGGCCCCCGCCGGCCTCCGTAGCCGGCGCCGCGCGCGCTCCGTCCCTGGCGGCGAGGCGGAAGAGGCAAGATGGCGGCGGCAGGCCCGCGCCCGGCCCCGAGCCGCGGCGCCCATAGGGGCTGAGACGCGGCCCGGCCCCCCCCACCCCCCCGAGCCCCTCGCAGGAGCCCGCCCGCCCCTTCCCGTGCCCTGCCCGCCGCCCCGGGCCATGCCCGGTTAGCGCCCACTGCCCGGCTGACGGCGGGGCCCGGCCGAGCCCCTTCCCCGCCGCGTCGCCCCCCCCCGGGCCGGGCCGTGCCGGGCCGCGCCCCCCCCGCCCCGCCGCGCCCGGGACGCCCCTCATGGCCCGAGCGGCCCCGGCCGAGCTCTGAGGGCCCCGCGAGCCGTGCCCTGCCCTTGCCCTCCCCTCCCTATGCCCCCCCCGGGGCCGCCCTGCCCCTGAGCCCCGGAGCGGCGGCCTTCTTCCTGGCGGCGGTGGCGGAGGCGCGGGAGCAGAACGATGTTCTCGGCCCTGAAGAAGCTGGTGGGCTCGGACCAGGCTGCGGTCAGAGACAAGAACATCCCCGCGGGGCTGCAGTCCATGAACCAGGCTCTGCAGAGGAGGTTTGCCAAGGGAGTCCAGTATAACAGTGAGTCGCAGCCCGGCCCCGGGGTCTGTCGGGGGCAGCCCCGTGGGGCCGCCCCATCCGCGGCCAGGGCCCCCGCTGGCGCTGTTGGCGTGGTGGCTCTTTTGCCGGTAGTCAGCCGAAAGCCAAGCTGGCAGTTAAACCTTAGAGCGTGCAGAACTGGGGGAAGAGGAAGGATGGCAACATTTTAGGTGTCGGCGTGGCACTTGGGAACCTGCGGTGTCCTCGGGCAGCGGGAGGTGTACCGAACGGCTGCATGCCTAACGCTGACTGTGACACAGGGAGAGCTCTTTGTAAATGGGTTACCGCCAGTTAAAGTATCAAGAGCGTGTGGGTGACCTTCCCTGCAGCCCAGGGTAATGGTATTTATAATTAAGCTCTAACGGCTGTATGATAAGGGTCTGCTGAAAAGCTCTGCACTGCCAGACTTTAATAAAAGGTGAGTGGTATATGCCTTTATGTGTCCTTGGTAAATAATCTAATTCTGATTATGTTTCTGCAACTGATACACCTGCTCTTTTCTCAGGAAACATTTTCAGAATTCTTCCCTTTCAGTATTGAAACTCAGAGTTTTGTTTTTTCTGCTGAAGCTCAGTAAAGGTTACTCTTAATACAGTATTTCAGGAAGGCACTGTAAGTATGTGAAACACATCCCAAAGTAACAATAGTGGGATGGGGACAGTAGTTGTCATTCGCGCTGAAAATAGATCTGCATCCACAGAGTGCTGCGAGTATCAGCTCGTCTGCGGGAATGGGCACGCTCTGGAGTCAGGCTGCAAGAAGCTGAGAGAGTGGCAGTTTGGAATGAGACTGATTTGTAAATGTGGCACTGAATAATTTCTGAGCAGGCACACGTGATGGAGGAATAGAATTTGTGCTGTATCTTAATTTGAAATTGTAAATGAAGGGAGAGATTAGCACATCAAGGGTTTGGTGTGTTGTTTTTTGTTTTTTTTTTTTAGTGTTGTCACTATTGACTGTGCTTTTAATCTGATAAGTTTTGGAAGCTCTCAGCTTTGCTGGGGAGAGCGTTTGCTGCATTTACCCAGAACACATGTGGTAGATATTCCAGAAGTCCTTAATTTAGAAAATGAGTGTCTTAGCAAGCAATTGTGAATATGACAAGAAAAACACATTGTTAAGGGACATAATTTCTAGTGAGAGATGAGGGGTGAAGATGAAACTATTGCACCTTGGCATACAGCACTGCACCGTTCAAAGCATACCTGGAGATCTGGTTGAAGACTATTGATCTCTGCAGAGGCTTAGCAGAGCCCACAGACCAGAACATATCCTTGTGCTTCAGTGGGAAATGTTTGAGACCAGGTTGCTTATATCAACTTGTGAATTATGTAAGAGAAAGGAGTTGATGTTTCAACAGCAAACGTTTGTGCTGCATGCGGTACAGATCAGCTGCATCCTGCTGGCACAACAGTAAAAAGGGACAGCTCTTCATTAGGTGCTGACAAACTGCATTGCCACCTAACCTTTGTGGATGTGTACCTGCTTGTCATTAATAGAGCAGGGCCAAAAATGCAAACAGCTAAGCCACCAACTGTAGCTTTGTTTCTTTTTGTCTCATTACCAAAAGCCTCTGGAAAGCTTTTTCTTTTGAGCATGGTCTCATCAAGATTTGTGTTCTAATCACTGGTTTTATATCAAGAATAAAACCACATCTTTCTGTCCCTGCCTTAAGGGAAGCTTTCCAATCTCCATAGTAACTCTCCCCTGTATCACAGTTATATAATGTTCGTAGGAGATACGGGCAGGGTTATGAAAGAATTTCGAAGCACCCTCATAGCCATGGCATTGGATCAGTAGGGTGAGTTCCAGCATGGTGAGGGTATGGGTGTTGCAAGGGCCATTGCTAAGCAAAGGGGTGAGCTGCATATCCTTTGTATTATCAATGCTCCTTTCTTAGGAAACGTGGAATTGAACAGAGGGGGGTACAAAATTCATTTTGTAGCCATCTTTAACACGGGTCTTTAAAACTCTTCCTTTTCCCTGGAATTGCATAACCCTAAACCAAAGGGTGCAGTCATGACTGGTTCCATAGAAATACTTCCTTGTTTCCACAGTCCATTATTGATTGTGAAGCGTAGCCCATTTACTTACCAGAAATATAAGTGTGCTGAAAACACTTGCTGATAAAGTGGCAGCAAATGGCTGGGACCTGGGCCTTATCACATGGTTTTTGATGCCTCTTTCCTGTGGGATTTGGGGCGGGCTGGGCTGTGCCAGCTTTCATGGCTGTCAAGTAGGTTTCATAACCAAACAGCCTCAGTCAACAGATTTGCGTTGATGGTCTCCCTCCCACTCAGGTAAGTTTTCAAAAGGAAGAAAGTTGCAGAGTGGGTAGGTTTAAATTTCTGGTGAGAGCAAAGGCCACTAACAGCCCTCGTCAGCAATCGCTTTTTCTGCATGGGGCATCCTAATTTGAAACAAAAGTGTTTTCATATGTCATTCCCGGCATACACTCCTTATTGGCTCCCTTTATCGTCTGGATGGAGCTTTTCTGTTTTTACATACTATAGCCCAAAAAACACCAGAGTTCCGTAAGGTACAGAGAAATTATGAAAATGAAGCGGGTCTGTACCAGTTTTGGTTTTAATGGCTTGGTTGTTTATGTGAGATTGTGGTGCCCGGCATGGAGAACCAATTTTTGTAAAAACTTGTTCTTTTTTTCTGGTTGGGCTAGCTTTGCACTTGGACCAGGGCTGCTGCTGGTCAGCGAGCTGTGCTGGCCCCAGGAGAGTAACAAAGGCCTGAGTGAACAGGCTCGGTATAGAGAGGCAGAGGTGGATCTCGTTCCTTTGGAAACGGTGCTGGTTTAAACAAATTACAAGACAAATTACAGAAGGAATTACCAGTTCCAGGTTATTCAAACATGGAAGTTTACATAAGGCAGTGCTGACCAAAGAAGGGTGAAATGAGTGGCTCTGGCTGGGCTACATGGATGAGAAGGCTTCTTGGGAATTGCAGACTGATGACTGGTGACAGGAGACGTGGAAGTGCTGTATTTTCAATCCAGTGGTCCCATTTCCCAGAAGTGCACCTTCTGCTCTGGGCTTTATTCTGAAAGATGTGTCTAACGTGCATGCCACCCAATAAAACCCGCTGCTGTCCTCCCTGTGGGCATCACCCTGGCGTAAACATGCAGCGCTGCTGAGCTACCATAGTCAGTAGCTCCAAGAATTGCCCTGGTCCCTCCTCTTATTACTCGTCTGTCTAAAACATGCTTTAAAAGACAAAACTTAATGAGTATGGTGCATCCTTATTGTGAGCATTGTAGTCCTTACATTCTTTGTGTTGTTTTAGCATAGTACTTCCCAACTTCTGATTGTAGTTTTGTTAAATATTTTCACTCATTACTGTTTCCAGAAGAAATACCTTGTCTCTTCCAGCTGCTTCCCACCTTCTCTCTTTTCTTTTTTTTCCTACTGCTGTCACAGGTGTTTGTGTAACGTGTGGGAAACTTGCTTTGACTGCTGTCTGGCCTTTTCTCCCCAGGAGTTATGCTTGGGGGTGTCTGTAGATCATGTCTGATTGTTTTTGTGGCAGAACTAGCTTTTAGTGTTCCAATTACAGCCTTGTAGTCACAGCCTCTAACATCTTCATGAGAATAAGGTTATGACCCTTCATACAGGGATTATTAGCAGAGATATTCAGGGATTTTTGCTCTGGGATCTGAAGTCCTTAGCTTTTGCAGCATACTGAAGGAATATGGGCAGTGCTGGGAATTTCCAGTCCTGAGTCGGTCTGTAGGCCTGTGTCCTTGCTGCTCTGCTTCTGTTTCCCCATTTGCAGAATTAAAATCCCTGTATTTTTTCTGACACAGTGACAAAAGGAATGAGAAGTGATCTGTTCATTTTTTTCCTCACGTTTTTATCTATTCCAAATCCCTACCCTTTTTCCCACAGATAATTCTGCTGTCTTTGCTACAAGGCTGTGGCTGTTTGCAGTAAGTACTGGTTTAACTAGAAATCAAAATAAGGTAGCAACTGTGTACATCCCACAGGTAACAGTACTAACCTCACCCATAATTGCTGGTCTTGTCACATTCAGACACAGCCTGGGCCTGTGGTTTACCTGGCTGGCTGTGCCCTGAAGCTCATTCAGCTCTTCCTGTCTTGCAGATGTCTGTCATTGAGTAGACCTGCCCCATCCAAAGTCTCAGATACTGATTTTGTTTTGCTGAAAATGATCTATACGACCTGCCTTCTTCCTGCTTTATTTTTAAACACTTTTCCAATCATCAGAAGCAAACAAATGAACAAAAACTGGTGAAAACTAACACACTATGTAGGAGGAGAGAGTTCCTAACACAGAAAATACTGAACCTGAAAAGGGCCATTGGACATGTTCAAATGGAGCACATGCTGCTACAGGCACCATAAGCTGATCTCAGTGTAGCTGCTGGGGGGTGAGGGTGATCTTCTTGCCCCCCCAGCCATGCCGGCACTGCTCCTGCTGCTCATGCAGCTGTGCACTTGAGCTAGAGGAAGAAACTGAGCGTGCTGAAAATGAATAATATGAGGGTTAGTTTTCAGCCAGTTCAGTTTCTTGATCCAACTCAACAATGGCTGCATAAGTTGATAAGTTGCATAAGCGTTAGCGGTAGGAAAACTGGGGAGTTGGGGATGACCCCTTCTGGGGAAGAGCTCACAGCTGAGACATCTGTGGGTGTCCTGAAAGCGCACCTTGAGAGCAGCCTGACTGAGGAAGGGTCTGCTTGTCCCTTAAAACTCACTGTGTCAATGTCTTGTGCTGTACTTTTTAGAGGAAGCTGATTTTTTAAATATCTCTCTATGGTAGGCAGTGAGAGCATTTTGAAAGGTTCAGGTTCTAAAGGGGACAAACGATCTTATTCTTTGTGTGGCATGGACTTGCTGCATTTCATTCATTAAGAAATATCAAAGGAATCCTCCTTTGGTTGTTTCCCCATCTGTAAGAATGAAAAAAAAAAACACACAGGGCAATGGGAAATGCAGGAAATGGTTTGTTGTCTCTACAGAGATGCTTTGGTACCTGTAAAAGAAGTCATTCTATAAATATTTTGTTCTTTGTATCTTAATTACCCTTTTGCTATTTTAATAAGCAACTTTTTGTAAAAGAATAAACAGCAACACCTCTTAGTGGGTGGGAGCAGAACAGCAACCGTAGCATAGCAGAACTGCAGCACAGAATTTCACCAGACAAACCTCTTCCACAGACTCCAGGCACTGTTACTCTTAAATTTTTCTCTGAAATGCCTGCAGTAACTCCTGAGTTACAACAGAAGGCAGCCTTCAGTCTGAGATTCCCTTGCCCAAATGATGATGCATAACGTAATGCTAATCACCTGAATCTGCCGTTAGATGTCTCTGAGTGGCCCATTTTTTAGTGGATAATAGCTCCTGTGTATCAGATGCAAGCATAAAAATTCTGGTCCTGTTCAAGTCAGCTTATCATTCTCAGTAGGCTTGTACCACTTAAAACAAAGATGGTATTTAAAAACAAAAGTCCCATAATGTAACAGAAGATTTAGAAAACAACATATTCCATTTTCAGATAGAACAAGATAATGTTAGGGTAGCCTGTGGAAGTCGATGGTGTTAGTTGCTAAAGAAGTTGCTTTGCTGGGTTGTGTACAGGTTATGGTAGCAGTACAGGCGATGCTCTCTGCAGATGCGTTGTTTGCCCTGCAGCAAGACAAGATATTTTGGACACTTCTTTACTCAGGGTGGGCTTGAATGCATTTTGCATGGACTGATGGTCCTTGCAGTAGGCAGGGGTGTGCGGCATGCTAGGTCAGCCTGGTGGCCTAGGCAGCTGGGCCTGAGGCAGGCCAGTGGAAGTAGAGCTGTTCTTATGTACCTAAGACCACGATTTTTAAGAATGCCTTTGCTGAGTGCCATCAGCATGTTTGTGCCTTAAAAATGTTTAAGACCTAGCTCCTGCCACAGAGGGGAGCAACAGAGATTCAGTTTTTCTTGTTTTTATTTCTGTTATTGAAGCTGATTATGTCCCCAGAGCGGTGTGCTTGTTTTGGTTCAGCCTAGCTTGTTTCTAGTGCATGTAAAGTAGATTTATTGTGATCTAAGTTGACTCGAACTGTGGCAATCAACAGAGGCAGCTTGATGAATTTATCAGTGGTGATTTCAGGTAAGACCCTCGTGTCGTTAACTGCCTCGTCCCATTGGCAGAAATGGTCAAGGCTTCAGCAGAAGCTGCCTCTCAGCTCTCCTACAGCATCTGCAAGAACTTTTGCACCAGTGCCAGACTGACACCTCTGGACAGGGGACACTGCCTAATTCAGCTCAGCTAAGAACTGGTCCTTGGGCTTTTGCTGACTTGGGGCAACTGGCTCTAGGAAGTGATTATTTCTGCAAGGAATGAGAAGTGTTTAAGGAGAAATGTGAATGGTAGAGGAGGTGATTGAAGAAGCAACCTGACATAAAAGGCTTGCAAAGAGAGAGGGTATGAGAGAGGGCTGGTTACAGGTGAAAAAATGCAGGAGGGCAAAAAGAGCAGCAACTTAGCTAGCTTGTGCAGATTCTGAAGTTTCAATCTTGATGTTGGTTCTTCTTGCTGAGCTAGTGTGAGTAGCTGAATAAACACTAATTTTAATGACAGAGTCTCATGCTTTTTAACAAAACCCATCATGCCTGTGTAATATGGGAGAACTAATTACATCTGAATAATGCTCACAAAAAGTTAACATGCTCGTCACAGCATTCTTTGATTTGCTTTTAATCAACTTTATTTATCTGCTTGCTCTTTTCCCCAGTGAAAATTGTTATCCGAGGGGACAGGAACACTGGGAAAACCACACTCTGGCACCGACTGCAGGGAAAGAAGTTTATTGAGGAATATATTCCAACTCAGGAGATCCAAGTCACCAGCATCCACTGGAATTACAAAAGTAAGATGAAAGGGGGTGGAAGGAGCCACTGTCATGGGACAGCGGGTCTATGTCTTGGGGGCAGAAATTCCACTGCAGCCTTATTTGCTTCTTCTGTGTATGCTTGGGAGATAAAGTGAGCTCTCATTGTTCTTATTTTAATTTATTATTCACAGTTTCTCAGTCATATTTTCAATAATTTTAATCAAACTATATAAGAGAGAAAAAATAGACCTTTGAAAGTTGCAGTTCTAGGAAGGTTTTTAGTAGGTGATCCAAAAGATTTGAAGTATTTGTGATACGCTTGACTTGCTAATGGAAACAGGTTTATTATGAAAATCTGTCTCTGAGGCTAAACCTGCTTGGTGTTACATTGTTGAGTACAAGTGAAGAGTTTGATGTAAACTAGTCTTTCACTGATTAAAATGTAGAGAGCATCCCTTAACTGGTGATGACGATGTTTTAAAAATGGTTGTAGTACTAATAGCTCTAGGCTGACTTACTGAAACATGGAAGTATCTTACCAGTAGCTTTTTTGAGAGATGAGGTGTGATTTTTTTTTTTTCTTTCCCATCTGCTCTGGCAGTGTAAAGTGGCTCTAAAAGCCCTGCATCTAGCCTGGAGAAGACACTGCAGGCACTGAAATTGCATCAGACTACGGTTCCAGAGGGTGTTAAAGTCAAGCTTTTAGATTCCTGATCAAAAATGCCACAGCCTTGGGGCACGCACTACTAAGCATGAATTTGCTCTGTAAGACTGATGTTGCTTTGAAAAAAAAGTCAGCAGTTTGTTACTATCAGATATAGTTTATCCACACCACTTCGCCTCTTTTTCTGAAGCAGTTGCTCTGTCTCCTTATACATAAAATAAAAGCATACAGTTGAGGCGCACAACATCAGGTGCTTTGTCTAATTTACCAATAAAAAAAAACCACCATTTTGTCTAATTTAGCAATAAAATTTGTGTTTGCTGGATGATGCCATCATGCCAAAGTCTCATGTTAATGATCGTGGAGCCCCAGGGTGTGTTGACAGGCCATCTGCCTAGGGACATTATTCTCACAATCCCTATTGGCTTTGTAGGTGTCAGTGCAAGGAGAGAAGGTCGATTCTGCTGTTGTATGTTTACAGGGAGCTGGTAACTGCAGTTCTGGAGATTCTCATGCTCTTGTGAAGACTGGCTGCCACATGAGTCAGCACTTCTTGACACAGGTGGAAAAGGTTTATAAGGGTAGTATAGTGTGTTTACATGGAAAGGTTATAGTAGCAGGGGACCATAGGGGTGGCTTCTGCGAGAAAAATCCAGAAGCTGCCCCATGTTAGGTAAGGGGGCCGCTGCTGCCCAGAGCTGAGCCAATAAGCGATGTTGTTTGTGCCTCTGTGAGAGCACATCTAAGAAAGGGGGAGGGGGGAAACATAAACAAAAACAAAACTGCTGCAGAATAGTAGCTGGGAGAGAGAGGAGAGAGAGGAGAGCAAGGAGAAAAAGCCTTGCAGACACCAAGGTCAGTGCAGAAGGAGGGCAGGAGGTGCTCCAGGTGCTGGAGCAGAAGTTTCCTGCGGCCTGTGGAGAGAACCATGGTAAAGCAGACTGTCCGCCTGCAGCCTGTGGTGTGCCATGGTAGAACATGTTTCCACACTGCAGCCTGTGGAGGACACCACAGTGGAGCAGGTGGATGTGGCCTGGAGGAGGCTGCAGCCTGCAGAGGAACCCTGCCAGAGCAAATTGTGGGCTGGAGCTGCAGCCCATGGAGAGGAGCTCACACAGGAGCAAGGGGCCTGGGGAGAGCTGCTGCCTGTATTGCTCAGTGTTTAAGGTATCAATGGCGCTGGCCTGCTGTGGGGGAAGAAAAGGGATGGAGAAAGTGCTTTTGTAGGGCTGGTACTCTGGGAAGGACCCCTCAGTCCTTTGCCCTCCGCTTGTTCAGGGCAGCAGCTTTTTAGGGGCTGTTTCAGGTAGGATACGTCTGTCCTTCACAATACAGTGCTCACTTTGATGTAGGGGCTACAAAAGGTAGTGTAAACTAGTTGGTTTTGGGGGATGAAACCTTATTACTCTCTACAACTACCTGAAAGGAAGTTGTGGGGAACTGATGGTTGGCCTCTTCTCACAGATAACTAACAATAGGACTAGAGGGAATGGCCTCAAGTTGTGCCAGGGGAGGTGTAAGTTGGAAATTAGGAGACATTTCTTCTCAGAAAGAGCAGTCAGGCATTGGAACGGGCTGCCCAGGGAGGTGGTGCTGTCACCATCCCTGGGGGTGTTCAAGGAAAGGTTGGACATGGTGCTGAGGGACATGGCTTAGTGGGTGACATTGGTGGTAGGGGGGTGGTTGGACCAGATGAACTTGGAGGGCTTTTCCAACCCTAATGATTCTATGATTCTAAGAGGGCAATTGAGAAGGAGTGGCAGAGACTAAGTGCTATAGGCTGACCGCAACCCCCATTCCCCTGCACTGCTCAGGGGGAGGAGGTGTTTTTGGTTTCTTTCCTTTGTTTCTCACTTTTCTAGCTTGTTAGTAACGGGCAATAAATTTTACTTTCTCCCTACTCTGAGCCTGTTTTGCCCATCATGATAATTATTTAGCGATCTCCCTGTCCTTATCTCAACCCCTGAGCTGTTTGCATCGTATTTTTCTCCCTCTTTTCCTTTGAGGAGGGGGAGTGAGAGAGCGGCTGTGGTGGAGCTCAGCTGTCCACCCGAGTAAAACCACCACAGATGGATAGCTGCACTCTGCCATGGATGGGGGAGAAAAACAGGTCCTTGCTCAGTCCAGCAGTGGTTTTCTCTCACATTCACAATCTGATGTTGAGCTAAGCCTGATGTCACAGGTGTTTAGATTCTTTGGTAGGGACCTGCTGTATGGCCATGCTGCGAATGTGTGCTCGTTAGCTTCTGCATTTCTTCATGAAAGTACCTTTATTTTGGGTACAATGTTATGGATGTTCTGCCTATCTACTCTTGCAAGGTGTTGACAGATCTGCAGTGTTCATGCAGTGGTATCCATCTCCATCGAAATGTCTGGCATATTGCATTTCAGCTGTGCCATCCTTCCCCCACACTCATACTCTTCTCTTCCAGCATATCAATACATTGGTTATTGATGTGTGAATGTAGAGCTTATGAATTGTTTGGATGATGGAAGCTATCTCTAAAATCAAAATTACTTTAGCCTAAATAGACTTAGACCAGACTGAGACACAGAATACTTTATTTTTAGATGTCTAAGTCTAAAGATTGCACTGAATGTTAATTGTGGTTTTCTGCATTACCACAGGTAAAACCCTCTGAATTTTAGTTTCCTCTCTAATCAATGTCAGTAATATTAGTACTGTTTGTAAATACAGCTTTTGATTTCTAAGAGGCTTATTCATGCCTAATTCTTTTTGTGTTTGTGAACAGTTACATGCAAAAAGATGTTTGAAGGCTGCTTCTTGTATAGAAAGATCCATTCACCTTATGTGTTTCTGCATGTTTTAGGGTCTGTATTGCCTTTTAGTGAGCTGAGACTGAGACTTACGCACTGGCTTGTTCAACATGGATGTGGTCCCAGGGTAGAAAACAGCTACACATGAGGATGGCTTTTATTGTCAGTTGGTAACCGCAGGTCATTTCTAGTTCTTAATTCTAGTATTTATGGGATGCATCTTTATAGAGCTTCCTGGTTAGATTTGGCAGCAATGTGTACGTATGGCAATGAACTTTTCTCAAGGCCAAGTGTTGTCAAGCTGTTGCAATTTGCTGGAAGACTGTACATGAAATTGTGCCTTTCATTTGTGTTTATCTCACTCAATAAAACACCATATTATTTTTTACTAATAATTTCCAGTAGGAAATTCTTTACTGACCTTAATACTTGTAAAAATAACCTCCTTTTTTAAAAAAAATACACAAGGTACATTCCGTGCTCAGAGAATGTTCCATAGGTGATGTGCATGCTCTGAGAGATTGGCTCAGATCTAATTACTAACCTGTTAGCTAAGTTCATCTGTAGAGGAAAAATACACTTTGTTTTTCCTGTGATCATGCTCTTAAGCTATCTTGAATAAACGTTATGAGGTAGTTGGCAGCAAATATTTACAGATGTTAATCATATCACTGTCAAATATTCAAGGATTCTTACAATGCTTGTAAGTACTTGGAGTGAACGAAATCACTTTTCTGTGACAGTTGTATAACAGTTGTATCTGTTACAGAATTTTTTGTATCTAAGTAAGGAATTACCATTCCCGACTCTAATGTATGTTTTTTTTAGGGTATGGGAGTCATTTAATTTTATTCTCATTTTGTCAGCCTCAAAAAGGGAGTCCGAAATAAAAATTAGCAAATACTTTTGTTCCAATGCTTTGAGTGCCGTATAGATGGATGTGTGGAATTGCAGAGTTGCTCTGCTCTGTATGATTTGTGATCCAAAGAATATGAAATGAGTCATGTAATTGTGTGAGAGTAAATATGAACCCACCCGTAAAACAATGATTCTTATTTTTAAATAAACGCTTGCAATTGAGTCTTCTCACCTCTTCACCATGTTCTGTGAGAACAGTGCCTTAATGTGCTACTGGCTACAAAGTACTTAGCGAAATAGCAACAGAGTAGAAAAATTTTTGAGTGTTTTGATCTATGGCTTGTGCTAATCCAAATTATAGAATTAAAATGATGTATTGGCACTCTTCTTCCTGCGACATGCCTTCAGAATCCATTAGGGTGAAATGCTGCTCCTACTGCTGTGTGAGTCATAAAAAAAAGTCAGCAAAGCAACACTAAAGTAATTATCCTCTTGTGTGTTCAGGATAATCAGGAATGAAGCTGGTGATGAAAAGGAAGAACTTACTGGCTACTGGCCAGCAGAAGCACTGGTGCTAACAGGGGAAAAAAAAAAAACAAAAACAAAAACACCACCAACATGGAAAACAATTTTCTTACATCTTGTGTAGGTAGTTTCTTAGCTAAGTTCTACACTTCCCCTCAGATAAAAGGATATAGAGAGATCTTTTCTAGTCAAACAATTCAACTCCTCAGCTATCTAGGAGTGCTGCTGCTCAGCAGGATTTCATTACCCACCAGGAGAACATTACTGAAGGTCCATTGACGTTATCATAAGGAGGTGGGGTTCTCTGGAGCTTGGGAGCAAAGTCCCAGTACTAGGTACTAGGCCTAGGAGAGCACTGTGTGGCACCCCAGCGGACTATTTTGGAATGGTTTTCCAACTTCTTGGGAAAAACCTCTTCTTAGTGCTTATGTGCTGCTGCATGTGGAGCTGCTGGAAAAATCAAACTGCCTTCTGGATGCCTGCTGCACCCCTGAAAGGTTTGCTGCCTGAGAAGGGAAAGCATGTTCAGTCCCTTTGCAGAGTGTCTTGACTGTTGAAAGGCACCAAGATTGACTTGGCACGTCTGGTCTGTCTGTCCCTCGTTCTTTTGGGGCAGCAGCAGCACTGCCAGTCCCAGCTGTCAGGTATGAACTTAGGGGCAGAACTCAAATAGGTGATCTGTGCCTGAGCACCCGCTGCCTGGCTGCACACCCCGCATGCACCGTGGCCTCAGGCATCCCATGCCCCAGTGAGAGCAACCTCATGCACAGTCTGGGGTGTAAAGAGCTGCTCATACAGCTGGGTGAGTAATCACGAGTATTTGGACTTGAGCCCTACCCGATTTGTTGGTTTGTAGAAATATATGGGGCCAGACTGAATTTGGGGAGTGTTATGGTTTGGGCAGAGGGTGTAAGGCTGCAGGCTGCTGTATGCCTGTTGTGTTTTCGGCACCATTTGGGCCTGTGGTGTACTGGCTGGGCTGACCCCGGGCATACCTCCTCATCTTGTACCATGCCTCCTTGCTAGCAAATGGGAAGGTAAGTGAGAGTTGCTATGAGGAAAAAGACAGGCTGCTGATTGACCTTTATACATAAAAATAAGAAGGGATATTGCTCCAGAAGCAGAGGATCAAGCTTTACAATCATTCAAAATCTGTATTTACAATATTTTGAAACCTTTAAGTTAAGCCAACAGTGAATTCTGTAGGGGAAATGTTTCCCACCTGGACAATGGCGCTTAGCTAAATTCTCTTGCCATGCTATGCGATTATTTTCTGCTCTCAGACACCATCATCTTCATGTTCCGCTGCTTTAAGTTCAGAGCTGCTCCAAGTCCAACCTTTACTTTGTAGCATTTCCAAAAGTAACTGTGTTTTGGAACTTTGTGAAGATCAGACTGCTTATTCAGATTCAATATATATTTCTAACCAAAGCTACCCATCCCTCATGCCAACTGAAAGTTTAACTGCTAGCTGTCAGTATTTGCCATAGTGTCTTTCTAGTGAGAATTTTGTTTGTCTTGCTTCAAATTTTAGCAACTCAAATCTACCTTGCTGCCCATTATTTACTGATTTTAGCAGTTTTACGTCTTAACAAGCTGCAGTAATACCTTATTTTTCATAGAGTGCAACTTGAAATTTGCAGAGAGAATGGATTTCTGTGGCTGCTGGACTGCCTGCACTCTTTGTAATATTTACGTGAAAATGGCCTTAGTAAGATGGATTTTCTTTAAATGTGTGTATTCCTTCGTTTTTCAGCTGTATGCCTTGCTTTCAGACCAGACATTATTCAAATTAAATTTATATTTTTTCTGAAAAAACATGAGAACCTCTGTATGTTATAAAAAATGCATATGAAATATTTATAACACATTTTAAATCTCTGATAAAATGTGAAGGAAATCTGTCATACGAGTAAGAATCTTTAAGAAATTTTTTAGATATCGCAGTATTGGATTACAGCCTGTTCCTTCCAAAGTAGGTCTTGTGTTAGTTGTGTGTGTTTAGTTTTGTTTTGTTTTGTTTTTTAAACTCCAGAATTAGTTTTCTTTTGACTTTGATCTACTTTGACAGTACTAGTTTTGGGTTAGACTCTGTGTGGTAAGGGTTGAGTGTTGCTCATTTTGCTGAACCGATTTTTTTGACGCTGTCTTTTTTTTTTGTGCTTTTAGCCACTGATGATATTGTTAAAGTTGAAGTATGGGATGTAGTTGACAAAGGTAAGATTCATAAGTTCTTTTCTATTGGAGATTCTGTTTTTTCTCAATTTTAATGAAGAATTTATATGGAATCAAAAGTACCATTTACTTCTAATTTATTTAGAAAAAGGTTTGTATTTTTTTTTTTGAAATACATTGATTTTCCTGGAAAAATACGGAAGGGAAAGAAGAGTCTCCTGTGCTAGAGCCCATTATTTGCAATTTGAACTTTAGATAAAATCCAGTATTTAGAAGCAGTTGTTTCATGTGCTGTGTGACAGATGGAATAGTCTGCTGCTTAGTGTAATCAGACTCTGAATTTTACTATAAACTTCATGTTCTCTCCTTTATAGTTTTATATATATTTATACACAGGTACTGAGTTCTTTGTTCTGTTTATAAAATTCTTGCCAAGCTGCTTTTATAAAGGAATGGTATTGTAAAATTGGTAAAATGTTACCTGCAGTGAATAATGTATGCAGGAGGAAAGGATGAAAGAGAAACTGATTACTTAAATCTGTCCTAAATGCTTAGCCAATGAAAGTGTTACGATGTATAAAAGGTATTTTTCATTAGTTTTCAATTTTTACCAATATATGAAGTTCTATTTTCTTAAATAAATGGTAGACATATGTGAAGGCACAACCTGAATGCAATGGAATCTGTTACTACAGTGGGTTGGGAGCTCAGATGTAAATCCTAAAGCCCATTCTGTAGCCCCAAATTCATGTTTTGTTTGGCTTTTGAGAGGTCTCCTGTACCAGACAGGCTCATTGTTTAAAGTGTGAGTAGGATCATGAAAGCAGCTTTACAGGTGAGCGTCTTATGCTCTGCAAGTCTGTTCTTTGTGTGCTTCCCTCCCTCAAATTTATTGACAACAGTGATTGAAATTTCAAACTCTTATGGTTTGACTCCTGACACGTTCCCTCAGTAGACCTACATCCAAGGTGTTCTACCTCTGATGTACCACATGTGCAACTTACACATGCATTAACACCAAAAAATAATAGGATAGATACAATAGGGAGCGGGAAAGGGAGAAAGTAATTTTTTCATGTTATCTAAATGATATTGAAAAGAGCAAAAACAAAAAGGTAATTAAGATAGCATCTGTAGTTCATATGCTTAACAGAGCAGAGCCTGTAGCTTAAACTTGAGCCAATAACTTTAAATGAAAGCCCTGGTAGCTTTATTATTTTATTCTTTTAAACCCTGGTCTTTCACAGAGTAGGCAAAAACCTTACTTAAGTCAGAGGTATTGCTGAAGTCAAACTGATGACAAGTTGGCTTTCAGATCCTGGGATAATATGCACAGGGCTGGAATCTTAAGCAAAACATCTGTTTTCTCTCAGCCTTGCAGCTTCAGTATGAATAGATTGACAGTTAATTTGGGAATCATGTGGCTCCAGCATTTATTTCTGTGAATAGCTTCTCAGAGCAGAGTCATCTTCTAAACTAGAGACTTGTCATTTTTTTGGCAAGATGGATTGGATTTGATATGAGCAGATGTTGATAACAGCTCTTCTGGTACTGCTTTCATTTCTGGCTGTGGAACATGTATTAGAAATCTGAAGAGACTCTATTTATTTTCGAGATGAAACCCATTCTGTTCAGATCTCTACTTATGGACCACAGATGTGCATTTTTATATCGTTAAATGTACTCAATCAGTGCAGTGTAAAACTTCAGAGTATCGTGATACAATAAAATCAAATCCTTTCCCATTGCTGTAGCATTGCAGTTTCTTGATAAATGCAACTTCAGCAAAGTGTGCAGGTTAACCATTAAAAACTGGCTCATATGTAAGCATCATCAAAATGTTATTACATGACATTTTTATTCTTTCTTTTGTATGCTTAGGACAAAAAATCTTCCTGCGTGATGCTTTTGGTGAGAGCAACGCCAATCTAGACAGTAGACTTCTATCCAGTGCTGCTGCAGAATAGTGCTGATGAGAACCAATCCTCCTTTTTTTCCTTTGCCTACAAGACCCTGGCTAACATGCATACTTAGAGATGTGCAGAACGCTGCGTTTATCAGGCTGGATTTTAAACTGCCAGAAGTGCATTTTCTGAGCATGCATTTTGACATGCATAGTTTTCCAGGCTAAATTTTTTTCCACTTTTCCAGTCTTGGAACAACTGTTCCTTGATACAGAAAATCAAGAGACCTCTATTTAAATTTAGATGTTAAAAAACCTGTATTGAAAGTCTGATGCAGGGATGTTCCTAGACTGTCTGTCTAAAGGATCTATCCATAAACTTCAGTGTTCAACTTTAGTCTTATAAAGCAGCTTCAGCTTCTTCTCAGTTATGCAGTACTGCCATTCTTTATGTCTCAGTGTGAGTATGTACAGGAGAGTATGGGGAAACTCAGTAAGCTGCACCCTGAAAAGCTTCTTGTACGTTTTTGCACTGAGTTAAATGTTGTGGTTTTACTATTTTGCATTTTTCCCAGCGCTTACCAACATTGTGCCTCCCTGTCCTTGTTAGTTCAGCAATGTGTTTGTTTTTTTTTTTCCCTCCAGTCTGTGTTAGGAATGCAGGAAGTAGCATTGTTGGTCCTGCCTGGCTGATGAATGGTGGTGAATCGGTGCCATTTGTTTAGCATAAAGATGTCAATTTGCAAGTAAGGGGAAAAGGTTTGTTGTGAAAGCTTAGAGTCTGTGAGGACAGTTAATGCATTGAAGCAAGAGAGAATGGCAGTTATTACACTGTACTGCTTCTCTTACATTTTTCTTGACTCTCAGATATTTTTTTTTTTTAAATGTGCAGACTCACAGGAGTAGTTATCTGCAGCCTGCTGGGTTCTCCATAGGCCTGCTCAGAGAGCTCATTTGTGTAATGATGCCATTTGTTAAACTCTTTTAACAAGTAGAGTTTGCCCCCAGCTCTGGATTGTATTGAATTTTATCCAATATGTGTAGTAACTACAGTCTCCTTTGCTGCCCTTGGAAGTAAAAGAACATAGGGAAGATATCTATCAGTAAAAGTCAGTCCTGACTCATCTTTCTGGCTTTGCAGCAAGTTGTGTAACTGCTGCAGGTTGTAAAGCTGTAACAGATCCTGCATGCAAAGCAGTTGCTTGAAATTCTGATGATTCAAGACCAATTCTGATCTTCTCTCATGTAACTTCTGCTAGTCTGGTTTCTGTGTCTTTTTCCATACCTGAACTGAGGGGATCAAGTCATATTTTTTTCTGTGCCAGCAGAATAGCATTAACCCTTTCACCCAATATTGGAGATTGATTTCCTCTCCCTTCCCCTTCACTCTCCTGCCAGGTGTGCTGCAAGAATGGGGAAAGGTCAGAATGAATATTTCTGTTATTTTCTGGTGTCATTAGATGATGCTGGAGATGCAAACATTTTAGAAATGTGTATTTTGGAATAATGTACAGAAACGTCTCTCCCTGACTGTGGACAACATTAGTTGGCAAGTTTTACTGAATCCTTGCTATCCTGCAACAAATCTGATGGTACACAGAGGTGCAGTGGTTGTCACGTTCTGGCCATGAATCCAGTCTTCTGGTATCCAGAGGAACTGTTCTGTAGACTTAAAGGCACTGCTGGAAGCTTATTTGTTTTTAGTGTTGCTGATAGGCCTGCAAAGAAGGAGCAGTCATTGTGCCAGTTAGAGAAGCTGAGCAATCACCATATGAACACCCTTGTTTTCTAACTGAGGCTCCTAGATCACACATCAATGCAACCTTAAGCACAGGACTTTGTTCCTATAACCACATGGTCATCTTTGTACACTTGGCTTTACAGCCTCAAATGTACATACATCAAATACACCATGCCCTTCTCTGGCTCATCTTGCAATTTTGGTTCCAAAAATAGGCACTCTGCATGAATATGTACATACACGTGCTTTTCAGCTCTGTTACTCCTTTATAGATGACCTCCTTTACAGCAGTGAGGAGCATCACGTGTGTTACTCATTCCTCTTGGCACATCTTGAAGCCCTAAGCAGGGAGAGGTGTACAAGTCATATTCATTCTTAAGCATCAGTCTTAAATATGTTCAGGATAGAAAGACAACTTGGATGTTAAGGATGAGAGAGATTTGTGAACTGTGAAGAGGTCTAGATGGGTATTTGTGGTTGCTTGGACTTCTGTTTTAACATGAGAAATTCAGTTCATTCCCAGCACAATTTAGCAGTAACTAGAGAAGTGGTGATGCTTTGACATTCAGAGAATCTCCATGAGTTCCACTGACTTGAAATTAATTAATTCAAGGGGGAAGTATACATGTCCTAGACATCCCACAGCTTCAGTTGCACTGGGAAAAATCAGAACCCATACTTGTATCCCAAGGGAGATGAACTTCAGGAATGGGGAAAGATTGGAATTAATATTTCTACTACTTTCAGATGGCAAATTAAGACGCTACTAGGGCTGCAAATATTTTAAAAATGTCTGCATTTTGTACTGATGTGCAGCAGCATCTCCCAGATGCACTGTCATGGTGTTGTGCCTGCAGTCTCCTGTATCTTGTAGCACATGCAGAGCTGATGTGCAAGGCCTGTTGAACATTGTCCCACAGAGTTTTCCATTCAGAAAAATGTCCCAAACTCTTGTTTTCTTAGCTGACACTAGTTGCTTAACAGCTAACAGGTAATACAGATGACCAATATTTACCAAATGTAGTTTGCAAAGTTGTTTAAGAGAAGTGTATCAACTTCATAATTAGCGCTACCAACCAACATTGATTTCAGTAGCCTAACGCTGAGTTCAGAGGGGGTGTATCCTGACATCTGTGTGCACAGTTCTGTAATAGTACCTGGTGAGAGTGTTGGATGGGGTGATTTTTCTATTCCAAATTTTCTTCATTTGGGTTTAAGTAGGGAAGCACTACAAAATTAGAACTTTGTATTTCATAACTACCTTTCCTTGACATGCATGGCAGAAGAAAGAAACATTTTCCCTGTTGTCATGTGCAGTATTTGGCAGAACCACAAATTTTACAATTAGTCAGTTGATAGTTCATTTCATCAGTTGAGTTGAATAGCTAATGGAAGCTGGTTTTGCCCCACATTGCAAAATCTTAAGAGATGATGGGAGTGTTTTGTGGGTGCATCCAAGCTGCCAAACATTGCTGTTGTCAATGACAGGGTGAATTTCTAGAAATTCTAGTCTCTGCCATACCATTATGTTTTAGTTAACTAATCACTGTTTAGACTGGGACAAAGTTGATTCAGAAGTACAGTTCTTAATTACTGTCTTTAACATCTGGAAGATACTTGATATCTGAAAAACATAACTCTCTAGACTTTGCAGGGTTATTTACTGTGCAGTGCTGTTCATTTGATAAAACTCTGGAAGCTGCTGTATGTAACTAATTTGAATAACACCTGGGGGCCAAGGACAGTTTTTTCATGGTTTGTGTCTTCTCTAAATTTCTTCAGCGCTAGGTGAAAGAACATATGCTTGCTCTTGCATATTGAGATTCACAGCAACAGGTAGTGACAACTGTCTACACCAGAAGATCATGTTAGACAGTGGCCACTCTGCTAGTTACTGATACATCATCTTCTTTGCCCACTGTGGTCCCGGGCTTTAAGATTTGTAAACGTGATTACAGTATAACTGATGTTACTGCAAAATGTCAGGAAGCCTAAGATTTAAAACACTGACTCATTTTCTGGTGATGCTGAGTCAAATGCCAGTGGCACTTTAAAAGTCAGCCTGTAAGTGTATTCAGTGCTTATTGAAGTTGTCAGAAAAGAAAGAAGTCTTAAGGGATCTGGCCTTTAAGTATAAGGGCCGCAATTTAGTATCTGCCTTATTGGAAGCAGGTGAGTTGGAGAGAAATGTATAGATCCCTCAAGATGGGATTATGGCAATGAGATGATGGAAGTCTTTACAGTAGTTTTCTAGCATCTTCTCCACATGTGTAGACTGCCTCTTTCACTTTCCTATGAGGTTAATCAGAACTTTGTCTGTTCTGTAGCTTATTCTTGTGTGCGTGTCTCTAGAGTACATGGCTTTGAGTGCATGCCTCTTGAGGATTTCCTTTCTTCACTTCTGTGGTGATGTCCAGATCTGACCCATCCAACTGTAACATTTTGTGCATATATAGGCTGATTTTATTCTGCTTCTTCAGCGCCCTCACCGCAGTTATTCGATTTTACTTGTATTTTCCCTTGTCTAAGTTCTGTGTTTGGCTGTTAAAATCTCAGTTGCCAGCCACTCTTTTTTGGGTCACAAGGCAGCCCCAAGCACCTAATGGGATGTGGGATCACATTTATTTCCAATATTGCTTCCTTCAGGTAATAGTAAGTGTAATAGTACAACGACATCATAGCGTCTCAGAAAGCTGAGTATGTGGTTGTGCAGTCCAGTTGTAGCAGCCCTGTGATCTTTTGCTCCTTCAACGCTAAAGCAAGAGCAGCTCACTTTGTGGTCAGGGAGTATGCAGAAACATGTAGTAATCAGTCATTGTAACTTTATGCTGTGAAGAGTGTGGTTTAAGCTGCTACAGACTTTTTTCCTGTTCATCTTTGAATTAGACCAGCTGGTATTCTTTAGCAAGGCATGCCTGTCCCGCCCCTCCTTGTTCTCCAGGCATATGGTAGAATTTTAATCTGCTTTAAGGTCAATGCTGTGATTTCATAGGGATTCACAGACCTGTCCTGGAGTTCTCTGCCCAGTGTAATAATTTTTTTGTTTTGTTTGTTTGTTTTACAATTCTTTTTAAGGAAAATGCAAAAAACGAGGAGATGGTTTGAAACTGGAAAATGACCCCCAGGAGGTGAGTCACCTTGAATGCTGACATCTGCCTCTTAGCAGGAGGCATCTTGTTCACCTTTGTTTGGTCTATGGAGAATTAAGTTCTGTATTTGTTTCTGCTTTAATGCTGCATTAGAGGGTGAATAAGGGACACTGTGATCTCTGATGTTCTTTTGCCTGTGCTTTTTATCCCTGTTGTGCCCTTCTCACAATTTTCCTGCTGTTTTCAGTTCTGTCTTTTGGGAATGAGCCCTCCCCAGCTGTTTATTTCTTTGCTTTGTACCTGTTTTCACGCAGTCAGTGTCAGGAAGTCTTTTGGTAATTGACTTCTCATGAAACATTGAATAAATCACTTAACAGCCAGCGTCTCTGGCTGCTCCTTAAAACTGGTCCAACAATTACCTTTTAGCACTCTTTGAAATGTAGAGGATGCAGGGGCAATAGAAGTGCCACCTGGTGTGCAAAAGTAAATAGAGTTGCTTCCTTGAGGCTCTTGCACAAATGTGCATCCTTTGGATCTACTGCAGTAGAACAGAGTGCCATATGGGAAACCATAATCCCGTGTTTCCCAAACCACGTTTGGGCTACTGATGCACTTTTGTAGTATCTCTTTAAAAAGCTATGTGATGTTATTCTTGAGGAAAGTAAATTTAAAGGCAAAGATCGCATGATCACTGCTGCGGCTCTTAAAGAGTTTTATTACTCCTGTTTGTGTGTCATTGCCATTTGGGACTCAGCACATGGGCAGGTTTTGGTACTTCCTCAATAACCACTTGAAAACTGCTTGAAATTGATGCAAAATCTGGTGTTAGTGATATGCACTCGGTTATGGATGAGTCAGGGCAGTGAAGAGTTAGCTGTTTCACCAGGGTGCCAATCTTGCTCAATCTGTGTGATCAAATTGGAAAGATTTTCTTTAAAAATGTTCTCTTATGTGAAAAGACCTCTGAGAACAGATGTCACAGCTGCTTCTTTGCAAATGTGTGTGCATTTTTCACTCCTGGAAATAGGAGTGAGAATTGTTCTATTGGTACCAAATTGCAGCAGGAGCCTTACAGGTTCAGTTCTGACTAGCACACTGTGTTTTGCAGAGTGCAGTCTAAATTTGGTGAAAACCAAATTGGCTACTAATGTATTGTTTTAGCTCTGCATGGAAGAAAGTCAGTTGAAACTACATCCTGGTTTTACCAGTATTTGTGTTGACGAAGAGATGTAATACAGGAGCCAAGTTCTCTGTACTCTGTCCTGTAGCTTATATGGACTTACCTTGCCAGTACACAATTTGGGGGCACAGTGGAAAGAGGAGCAAGTGAGTTTTATATAGCATTTGCTGTCAGTCTTTTTTTTTTTCCTGAGACTGCTGGGTGCTTCATACCCTGGTCCTGTGGGCAGTGGAAGCTGTGACCCACCAAGTACGTTTTTTAATGATGATGACATGAAATCCGTGGATATTTTTTTATAGTGGCTGTTAGTGTTAGTTTGCCTGTTCAGCACTGTGTCAGTTGTGTTCTCTATGATCCTGAAGTCGAGTCAAGTTATTTACTGCTTCTTTTGCCTTTATTTTCCCAGGCAGAGTCAGAAATGGCTCTGGATGCAGAGTTTCTGGATGTTTATAAAAACTGCAATGGTGTAGTGATGATGTTTGACATTACCAAACAGTGGTAAGACACCTTCAGCAGCACGTGCTATGTGATTCTCACATTTTTAATGGAAGCAAATGACTTCTAGACCTCTTGATTCCCAGATGGTCTCTAGAGCTGATATGCAGCCTAATGAGTCAAAGCAAGCTTGTATCCTTTAAAATAATAGCTTTATCTTCTGGCATGTCTTTTAATATACTCCACTCCTGGGTTTGTTTCAAACAGTCTCCCTGTGGGCTTCTGGACTGCAGTTTCTGATATGCTGGTATCTGAGGCTTGATAATTAACGCTGTCACGGGTGCAAAATATGCTGGATGTGTTATAAACATACCGCTTTACAGAGCACAAGGGAAAACAGAAAGATAGCAAGAAATTCCCAGGAAGACGGGTATTAGTAAGGATTATTTGGATGCTCTGAGCTGCATTAATGTATAGAAATAATGAGCTGTCCATTTTGCTCACCTGAGGAGAAGGGGGAGAGTCACGTGGAAGACAGATTTAAAAGGGGAGGTAGTAAGAGTTTTTGCTTTAGAACGCAAGCTTACGTGTAAAGGTTTTATATGGTTCAGTGAGACCATTGCCAGCATAAGTTAGGGAATGTTTTTCATCTGGTGACCTCACACAGTTTTATAGGACTAAGAGAAACATTACTTGAAGAGATGTGTGGTCTCTGGTGGAAGTGGATTATTGAACTTGTCAAGTCATTTTTGAGTAAAAAATGATACAAACATATTTACAGTTAATACATTAGAGGGAGGGTGAAGCCACAGTATTGGAGGGATTTGGGGAAAAAAAAACTTTGTATTTTTTTCCGTGGTTTGTGCATGAAACTGCTCACAGAATGGTGTTTCACCCTCACTTGCCTGTGTCTGTCTTTCCTTTGGTGAAGGACATTTAATTATATTCTGAGGGAGCTTCCTAAAGTGCCAACTCACGTTCCAGTTTGCGTGCTTGGGAATTACAGAGACATGGGGGAGCACCGCGTCATTCTACCTGGTGATGTGCGGGACTTCATTGACAATCTGAACAGGTAACTGGGGATGGCACCATGGTCACCAGACAAGGGGAGCAGACTTCAGCTGCTCTGTCATCACCCATAGATAACTTGCTGCTGTGTTTCAGATCTGTGTCACGTTCATCCTCCAACCCTCTGCTTAGCTTCTAGGCTTCAGTGACTCTTAAGAGTCTCACAAAGAAGTTTCAGTTTTCATGATGGACTCTTTCTCCTTTGATCTAGCAGCCCATACTGAGCAGATTGTTAGCAGATTCTTGGAAGCAATGACTGCATGCCTGCATGTACCTTTCAGGAGTACTATTACCAAGAGGTCATTTCCTTTCTGGTTACTCCTTACCTTGTGAAAGAATTCTCTCCCTGCAACACAACTGTTTTCTACTCCACGTAATTCTGCTACAAGAAAGCCAGCTAGTGTAGCTGTGTTTCTCCCTCTTCCTCTCATAGCGTCTCCACACAGCGTTTTCTGGGTACAGCTAGATCGTACTCCACTGTTTCCAGACAGGCAAGGTTTTCCCATATAACAGAGAACCTCAGAGCCCTGTATATAAAATTTTACGTGTTGGTCAGGTGTTAATAGATTGTACCTTCAACACAGTTTTATGTTTTTAAAGCAATTTTTAATTTTCTTGGTCTCTTGCTTGTCTGTTACTGTGTCAGGTGTACAGAAATGTGCCAGTTTTAAGGCTGGATTCCGTAATATAATCATTTCTTCTCAAATTTATCTCTATATATGTCTTAGAGTTTAATGCCCAGTTTTGATGCTTGAGTTGGTGACTTAATATAGGTCTATTTGTGGTTTTAAAATAAAACCTTCAGTGAGAAATTAATAGCTTGTACATCTACAAACCCCCAGCTTAGTGAACCAATAGCTCAGTGTCCTGATGCAGTATCTCCTAGTCTAGCAGCACTGTGACAATGCAACATAACTGCTGCATCCAGCTTTTTTGCCACCTTCAGGAGGAACAAAGTCTGAATTTTCCTGTAAACAAAATAACAAGTCACTAGCAGAATGACATGCCAGCCTCCATTTGAGGGCTGAGGGGCTGGTTCACAGCATGGAATTTAGCAAGTACCTCATCTGTGTGTATGTATGTGTTTTATACAAAGTTTTATTTCCTCTTTGCATATCTGGTTGAGACAGGCCTCCTGGCTCCTCATATTTTCGCTATGCTGAGTCTTCCATGAAGAACAGCTTTGGACTCAAGTACCTGCACAAGTTCTTCAACATTCCCTTCTTGCAGCTGCAGGTAAGAGAGATGGTATTTCCATGATGTTCAGGGTGGGTGGGACAGAGTTCATTTTTCTCTAAGGTGATATGATTTTATATGCAGGATATTTTGTTGTTAAAGGATCCTGAATAAACTTCTGTTTTTGTAACAGTGTAGTTAACAGAATTTTATTAGTCTATTGGTGCCTGTGACTTAAATGTCTCTGTTTGCAAAAGTGCTCATATTTGCTCTTTCATTCAAAAACGCTTACCTGCGTAGAAAGGCTCCAAGGTGAATATCACTGCAAAGAAAACTGCATCCAGTGTTGTAATTACTAAAAATGTTACATATGCGTAGTTGTTACACTTTGTATTTAAATTGTGTTGTCAGTCAGTAAGTTAAAACTTGAATGAGAAAAGTCTTGTCTCTGAACTCTTCAGTTCATACCACGTGTTTGCTGAAAATCTTTGTCCTGAGATGAACAGTAACTGATCTGCTTGGATCCAGTGCAAGCAGGTAGAAGGCTCAAATCTCTGTCATAGTTGAGCCTCCTTTTCCTTCTAAGAGGAAAGGTAAAGGCTGAATGGGAAGGGTGAAATTCACATCCATGGTCCTTTAGAAGAGGACCCTTTGATGTCATCATACAGGGGTCCTTTGGGGTCAGCGACTTACTGCTTCTGGGGGTGCATATGAAGTTGTATCACAGTTTTCTTCTGCTTGGAGAAATTCAGACAATTGATCTTGATGATCTTTTACCAGCAGGTGAAATGTCTGTGTATATTTTTACACAAATAATCCAAGCTGAATTGCTAGTTCAGAATAAGCTTATATATGTTAGTGGGTGTTACCACATCCCAAGTCTGCAGAGCAGATGCATTAGAAAGAACCAGGATAAGAAAACTAAATGTACAGAAACCCAGTAAAATAACTAAAATACAACTTTTCGTCAAAACTGTATTAAAAATCTGAGATTAAAACCCGATTTGCTGCTCACTAGAGAAGACTAAAATCTTCAAGCATGGTGTGTTGGTTACATGTTTGTTTTTATAACCTTGGTTTCTACAGTAAAGTGATGTCTTGTGGAAATCATGCAGAATAATTAGTTTCCAGGTTACTTTTATAAATCTCCCTTCTTCTCAAATAATGTTGTTAAGAGACAAAGACATTAGCATGGGCTTCCTGCTAGATTTGTGTCTGAAAATTGCTCATATGATACTGTTAATGGCCACTATATGCAATGATTTTCCTAAATACGATTGTAAGCAGGAAATATCAAAGTGTTTGTAGCACTACGGTTTACGAGGAAGCAGCTTTAGGATGAGAGTCTTAGGCAACCTTTCATTGAAATGTACTCTGTATAAGTAAATATGATCTATTAATCTGAAAGTAATTAGGACACTTATATAAGGTAATTAGCCTCAAAGCCAGAGAACTTCTTGTTCGGATCTTGGTCCTCAGGGAAATAGAAATAAATCTGATATGGCCTTTAGCTATTTGAAGATGTCAGTGACAGTTGTTAGGAGAGGTGAGGGAAGTGGGGTGACCAGCCCCCATTTATTTCCAGTTCAGTGGGCATGGGATGGCACTGGGGGTAGTGCAGAATCCAAGGTACAGGTGCTGCATGTGGGTTGACCTTGGTTATTAGACTCTCTAATCCTGTGGTGGTGTTGTTTTTGTTCTTTTTTACTGTTTTTGTTAAATGTAATTAAGCAATTCAACACTTCAGAAACAAACATGATGAAAAGACTTCTCCATGAACAGCTTAGTTTCTAAAATGTGAAAGGGAAGATTCAGATGGGTGCATGTAAACAAAATGTTTGCACTGTTCTTTGCATCTTGACATAGGAGGTGGTAGTTGAGAAAGCTGGCTGTGCCTGTTGGAACGTTTTTTCTATGCTGCCAGAGTGGTGCTTCTTGACTTTTCCTTTAAAAAAAGCAGTACAAAAACATGTTCCTGTAGTTACGTGCTCATATGTGGATTGCAGGCAGCTGTATTTCCATGCATTCTGATAAAAATCACAGTGTAGGATCCCATATGAAGATGGTCATTTTTCCTTCCTCCCTGGTGTGAGGGAGATTCCTGGCCTGGCCATTCTGTGAGGAGGCAGGTGACACCGCAGATTCAGAGGCCTTTGGTTGCTGCCACCCAAGCTTTGGGACTTTACTTGATGTCAACCTTCAGGCAAGACATGCCACACTTTTTCCTGTGCCGTTTGTGTTTCTGCTGCAGGTTTATTAGAAGAGTTTTGTGCTGTTCCACAGTAGCTGCTGGTTTGCTGGCTCTGGGCATTTGCTGCTCCTGGTTGGCATCTGATATCTTGCCTTTGAGTGTGCTGGGAGCCAGGGCTTGCTCCCGCAGGCCTTATTACCAAGCAGTGCAACACGATGTTTAAATTTGCAGGAAAGTCACAACTAGACTTAATTCCTAAAGGTACTGTTTGTACCTTCAGAGAGACTTGACAGAGGCTCTAGAAAGGAGTAAGTTCCCTGGTACTTCGGAGCAAAGTAGGTAAAAGGAGAGGAATTCTGCCAAAAATTAAATGCACATACCAGTTAATTGGTCTCAGTCAGCTTCCAAGGTTTCTCTGTTCCTCAACCTGATCTCCCACAGCTCTCCAGGGGAAGTGGAGCTGTTCGGCCACGTATGGCATTCCTCTATGTCCTTTAGTGGTGTTGGCATCTAGTGCATTGGTTTTAAGTTGCACGTTCCTGTGTTCAGTTTACCTTTATGCATCTTTCATAAAGAAAGTGGTGGGTGAAATTCAACCCCCCAGTAAGGAGCAAGTTCCATCTAGCAGCCTGGGCTCTTTGATTATTTATCGGGTCCTTTCCAGGGGAAGGATTCTCAAATTGGAGAATGCAGTGTAGCTGTAGGAACTGCTGGTGGCCCACATAATTTGCTAATAGGATCAGGTCACCCAGGCCTTCAGAGTGCTGCACTGGAAGGTGACAGAATATTGCAGACAGCTGAAATTGCCATTTCCCAGGAAGCACTTGAAAGTGGCATTCAGCCAAAGCATTGGTCTGCAGCACATGATTTATTCCCTCCTTTTGGGTCGTTGCTAAAAATAATCTGCTTCTTTAATATTTTAATACCAGCATGGTAAAATAGATTTTTTGCATTTAGAAGTCCATTATTAGTAACTATCTTTTTACAAAGTTAGATGCAAATTTCTCTCGATTAAATCTAAGTTCTGAATTTACTGTGATCTGTGAAAATTGAGATAGATAAAACTCAGGTGTATGTCTTCCTTCTAAAGTATGAGGAAAGTCAAATCACTTGTTTAATAAAAGCCCTTACCTAAGTGCATAAGATAAGCACTGGAGAGCAGTGTTCCCTCTGTATCTGTTTATTCAGTTAATTAGATCATCATTTATTTCACTTCTGTTAGGAAAGAGGACAAGTAAGCAGAATAGTTTCCTCTTTTTTTGGCCTGATTTTTGCTTGTAGTCTACGAATAATACAAAAGGATGAAATTTGTTACTTCCAAAATCTTGAAGGATGCAGGAACCATACAAGCATTTAAAGTCACTTAGTACAGATTAGTACTGTTCTGTTTAGTGTACCGAGTTTAAATGTATAGCATGTTTTACTGAAACTTTGTCTATACCACAATGAATGAATTTCAAGTTAACTGATAACTTCATAGTTCTTTGTATACGTTTTAATTGAACTCAAATTTCCATCTGCATATAGTTATATGATGAATAAAAATTACCTGGTGTGGTAGTTCTACCCTGCTGGGCAGCTGAACTCCACCATGACTGCTCTCGCTCCCTCTCCTCAAAGGGAAAGGGGTGGGGAAAAAATGCATTGGAAAGGACTCAAGGGTTGAGATACGAGTAGGGAGATCACTTGAGTTATTGTTGTGGATAAAACAAACTCAGCATAGGGAGATTAATGTAATTTATTACCTATCCCTAGCAGACTAGAACAGTGAGAAGCTAAAACTCCCCCCCCCCTTTTACATCCTCCCCCCAAGTGGCACAGGGGAATGGGGGCTGCAGTCAGTCCCTGACACTTCATCTCTGCTTCTCCTTCATGGTCACTCTGCAGCACAGGATCCCTCTCGCAGGATGCCGTCCTTCCCAAACTGATTCTGTGTGGGCTTCCCACAGGCAGCAGCTCTTCAAGAACTGCTCCAATACGGGTCTGTACCACGGGGTCCCTCTGTCAAGAGCAAACTGCTCCAGCACACCTCCTCCAGGCCACATCTACCTGCTCCACCGGGGGCTCCTCCATGGGCTGCAGCGTGGAGATCTGCTCCACGGGGGACCCATGGGCTGCAGGGGGACAGCCTGCTCCACCAGGGGCCTCTCCCTGCACAGGCCACAGGGGAACTGCTGCTGCGTGCCTGGAGCACCTCCTGCCGCACGGACCTTGGGGGCTGCAGGGCTGCTTCTCACTCCTCTCTCCCAGCTGCTGTTGTGCAGTGTTGTTGTGTTTTGTTTTTTTTGCTTGTTTGTTTTGTTTTTCTTTCTTAAATTTCTCTCACAGAGGCATAACTAGCAGCACTCGTGGTTTGGCTCTGTTCAGCAGTGAAAATCTGTTTCAGCAGAAATCTGTTGGAAATGTAGAAAGGGAAGGACCGAATTAAAAAACTTACATATTTTACATAAGCGAAGCCTACTTGCTTTATTTCACATTTGAAATGAACTCAGGTGTGTTTGTCCCCCATCTGCAGGACAGCAACTGAAGGCAGAAGGGCCATAGCTTCTAAAATTTCACTGAGCTAACAGGCTGTGGTTGCTCATCTGCCCCAACATTTAAAAAAAAAAAAAATGTGAGTTTTTGCACTGAGTCCTGCTCCCAGAAGGGCTTATTTATGAACTGGTTGTACAACTGTTTTGCACAGAATTTGATACTGTTCTTCAAATGCAACTAGTGATCCTGTATCTGATACAGTTTAGCTCTCAGAACAGATTGCTTTCTTACAGTCAGACTTTCTGGATTAACATACTTTTGCTACCACTTCTGTTTCCCATTATGCTTCTGTATTTAAACTGAACACCATGAAATGGTCCAAAGCTCCTGTTTAATTCATTGCTGTGGGTAGAGTGGTGACACCAGATCTCACTGCACCCTGTGAGCACACAGAGATCTGTTACAATGACCCTTCCTGCTCAGACCCAGCTTGTTTTCCTTTCTTCAGCGGGAGACATTGCTACGGCAGCTGGAGACGAATCAGCTGGATATTGATGCAACTTTGGAGGAGCTGTCAGTGCAGCAAGAGACAGAAGATCAAAACTACGAACTGTATGTCATTGAGCCATCTTTTCTAACTGTTTTGTTGCAGTCTAGGTGTCATACAAATATTGGGCAGCCCCAGCTATGGCATGTGGTCAGACTGAAGTGTTGTGAGTGACATTTGGCATTTCTTTGGATCTTGCAAAATGTTACTTTAAGTGGCATCTCCTGAAATAAAGCATGCACTTTGGGATCCCTGTCAAAGGGTCTGGTTCCTACAAGCATGTGATCTGTGGGAGGGCAGTGGAGGTGGAGTTGAGCGGTACAACTTGAGGCAGCACGTGGTAAGAGATTATAGATAAATATGTTGCAGCCTCTAATGGAGAAAGGGGTTATTTTCCACTTCTCTAATGCTCAGCACACAAGTTGATTCCTTTTCTTCTGGCTGTTGCATTCCTGTGTACTGCATATCTTGGGATAGGCAGAAATTAATAGCTACAATACTGTTGTTCACTTTGAATACTTCTAGTCTCCTCAGCACATTTCTGGTTTGAAACAGTGACTAGTTCCTGCCTTGTGTTTATTCACTGCCTCATCTGTTCTCTTGGTGCTTGAAATGAGCATTTTCCAGAGTTAGCCCTGCAAAGCCAATATATCTGTAGCACAGTGAGATGGAATCTCTTCAGATTTTTATATTGCTGGCACATTTTCCATGAATTTCTATTGCAAGGTCTTCATTACTGTAACATGCAAGTCAAGTCAACCTCAGAATGAATTGGAAAGAGATTCTTTACAGGCATCTTTAGCTGTAAGTTAGAATCAATGATTATGAAATATTCATGCACAGCCATTTTGATAAGCATTTTCAGACCAAGTTTCAAGTTCCATAAACTTGGTCAGCGTATTTCTCTTTGTGAGAGCATTGGAATAGTCTGTATACACACAAAGCAGTACTGTTTCCAGAGTATTCACCTCATTTGTTTCCTTAGGGAATGGATAGCTTCTTCATGCCTTCAGCAATTCTCTTGACATCCCTACTCAAAGGACTGGGCTATGTGGGCTGTTCCGTCAGAGTATTTTCCAGTGTTTTTTATACTGTATCAGTAATGGGAAAATACTTAAAAGAATCAGGACTTGGCAGAGCTGTGCCAAGCTTACACAAGAAGATGTTGCTACCTATTCACTTGTCACCCTTGTACCAGCTTTAGTATTTACTGGACCCTCACATGAACCAATTCAAATCACAAATCAGATCACAAATGAAGCAGAAAACTGACATCTGCCAATACCTACTTCTGGATTAGCTTTTGCCACATGAGTGGCGTGAGGGCTTGCTGTGAGAAACATCTGCTCAACACCAGAGCTTAATGGAAGCAACAAGAGATGCAACAAGAGATGGGTCTGGCAGATGCGGGATGGGAGGACCTAGTTCCAGCGATAGATGTTGCGTTGGATCATCCCATCCAGTGTAACCGCACCAGCATACAACATTTTATAATACTGGGGTGCTTCCACTGCAAGAGAGTACCCTTTCTGTAGCACTTACTCATGCAGACACACAGTGATTACTAAAAAAGGCATCATTTGCAATGTGGCAGAATCTAGAATCCTAAGGCCTAACTGGTCCAGGCAGTACACACTACCAAGTCAAAAGGCATGTTATTGCTTTTTACAACCTCAAAAGAGCTTTCAGTGCAGTCTGTAGTAGCAAGCTTCATCTCTGTAGAAGTTCTTGGGCCACCTGCAGGTAATCCAAAGCCAGAATAACCATTTGGCCCATATGTCAGTTCCCTGTTGTTTTACCAAACCAGCTTGTGAGCACAGGAAGAACAGGAGTTGGGGTCTGTGCACCTGAAATACTTCAAAGATGCCCGCAGCCCAGACAGGCAGAGTAGCTGCCCCTCTCCTGTGCTTCAGAACAGAATGCTGTAGCAAGGGACTGCTGTTCAGCTGCTGGGGAGGGCTTGAACTGCAAACGACTAATTGCATTATTATGTTGAATATCTGTCTTAACAGGGTGAAAGAAATACCTTAGCTCTGATAACTCTGAGAAGAGGAGTTGCTTGGAAATTAAAAGCAAGACTTTTTCCTAGAATTCTGGTTTAGCAAACAAGCTGATTTTTCATGCAGCTGTCCAAATTCAATTCAGCTACTGCAAGCTTGTCAGCATACTCACACCAATGTTCTTTGCTTTCAGAAACTAATGCTTCTTTACAGAAAGGTCCTCAAAATATCTGTGGATGCTTCCTGGATTGAGCCACTGATTTCCCCCCCCCCCCCCTAAAAAAAAAGCACAAGGCCATGTCATGCCCATCTACTTCGACCACAGTGACTAAAATAGAGTGCTATTTGAGGATTTTTGAGGTTTTTCTCTGTGCCTCAGCTGGATATGAAAGGTCTGTTTCAGAGGCACCTCTGAAGCACATAAGCTGCAAGGGGTTACTTCTATCACAGAGTTGGAAGGATACTCTCCCTACAAATATACATGTATATTTTATATCCCTTCAGGAGTTCTTCAGTTCCTGACCTTGAGTCCTTCAGCCCAGGTCCTGATTTAAAGAAATAAGCACACTCATATGGGAAGGAACACAGATTTGGGTAAAGTTCTGATTCTTGGTAAGCTGCTTAAGCTGGTGAGTGGAGTATCTGTAGACACATCGGCAGTACCTGGTGGGAATTAGGGTTTGCTAATTAGGCAGGTCTTTAGGTTTGCTAGTTAGGCAGGTCTTCAGTGCTCTTGAATAGGGCTTGGGAAGGTCTCGCATCCCTGCTTGACAGATGCCCATCCTCTGGTTTTGAGATTACTATGTTTATCATGCTACTGTGGTTGTTGTCAAAATGAGCACCTGATGTGTTTTACTTTGACACTTTCTTGTTGCAGCACATGTATTCATGCAGTTTAACTTGTTGACCCTTAGCAGATGTGCCACCCTTGTGTTGGCTACTTGGATTTAGATGGTACTTAGAGTGTTGCTGTCAGTCACCACAAGTTGCTTAGCAAGGGGAAGGTGTCCACAGGCACTGGGGGCTGCAGGCCTTGGGTGCAGTGGGGCTGCTGCATCACCTCATCTGAGGCAGTTCCTGCTTTCCTTACGTTCACCATCTTGTGCTGACATAAAATCAGGCAGTGGAGCCTACAATGTGGCAGTGCTTGTCTCAATGATTTCATTCACCCCTGTGCATGTCTGGTAGCTGCTCTGTCACAATGACAGATGCTAAATTTGGATCAGTGAGAACAGAAGGAGCACAAGAACTCTTCATCCTGCTGTGTCTGGGTACCTGAGGACAAAACGTCATTGCTCTAAAATGTGTATCCCAAAGAAAACACGAGGTGGCACACAACACTGCCTCATGCAGCTTATGTAAGCGATCCCTTGGCAGTTGCTGGCCGAGCTTTGCCTGTGTAATGCATGTTTAGAGGCTTCCAGCTCTTTCCCTCTGCTTAGTCTGCCTGCCACACCATTTGCTCTGGTGCTTTCCCTGTGGTGTCTAAAAATTCAGCCTTTTTTCAGTTTCTGAATTCTTACAAAACAGCAATCACTTTCCTGACATCTGAATTTGTAATATGCTCAGTTTTTTCCATGTTGTGTCCATCTTATCTCCTCTCACAAAGGAAACTTTTTATACATTGTTTGTTCAGTTACAGCATGTCTGTTCCCTCACTGAATGCAGATGCACATGGAGAAGTATTTTTAGGAAATTATGGAAGCTCTTCCTGCATATTTTTTTTAGGAACTAGTTGAAATGCTTTTAGAAGTTAAGTAAATCTAATCTGTGGTTTTGATGAACTTTTATGTTTTGCTGGATTTTTTTTCTAATATTTTCTTTTTAATATTAAAGGACATAATTTTATTTCAAGGGTTAAGGATTCAATTATCCTTGAATTACCTTTTTTTTTTTTCCCTGAGATTAATATAAATTATTTAAAAGGAATACTGAAGTTTTTTGTTGTGAGAAGTCCCATCTTCTCTCACAATCAGTTTTGAGAAACTTCAGGAAACTATCTATAAACCACTATGTGATTGTTTGATTTATAAGCATCTGAAATCCAATTTATGAACAATTGAGGTGAAAAAAATAAATTCTCAGATCACTTTACTGTTGGTGTTTAAGAGCTCTCAAGCAAACTTTTAGTCAGGCTTTGCAAAAATATATTCAAAGAGACTGAACTGCAGATTATTTGAGATATTGTATGATCTGGGGTACAACTTTAGTAGTGGTAGAGTCTGTCTGCCAAGTGATGGAACTCCTAGATGCTTCCTCAGTGCTGCCGTACAACTGGCATCTGCACTGTCAGGTAATCCTGGAGAGCCAGGTGCTACTGTCCTGTCAGAAGATGATGAAACAGTGACTGTAGAAAGACATTTGCTCTCTCCTAATGAGGACTCTTATTTTGGGAAACATGCTTCCTGTATTAGACAGCTTTATTTACTACAAAGGCATTTGTTGGGGTTTTGGGTTTTATTTGCTGGTTTGTTTTTCATGCATCGAGCACAGGCCTTAAGTTTACAACAACCGTGGTACAGAGTAGTGCCAAATGTCTGACAGGAGAACTTGCTGCTACAGATGCTCTCCATTATCTCCAGCAGTATTGAAATACAGGTCTGGAATCTCACTGGCCAAAGGCTGAAGCGCACAGTACCAGTTAGGAAAGTAAACCCGCTTTTGTTTTTTTTTCTCCTTCCCTTATCTTTATCGTCTCAGCTTGCTGTGAGTCACTGTTCCTATCAGATCAGGAGCCAGTGTGTACTAAATGGGACTCTAGGTCACTTTTTTTGTGTGGCTGCATTAAGAAGTAATCTCACCTGGTCCTATCATCATGGATCTTGCCAGAGAACTGGAGAAAGTGGAGTGTATCCAGAATGATGTAGAGGGGCATTGTCCTGCTCCATTAGTTTTGTGTCAAATGGAAAACCTGAGGAACATCAGGGGAGGGATGGAACATCAGGCCTGGACAGCCAGCTTCAGTCCAGCTTCTGCTGACAACTAATTTCACATTCAGGAACCTGAACAAGTGGAAATCTAACCTTCTATGCAATAAAGCCAATGAAATTGATGTCACAGGCTTTATTAATCTTCATTTTCACAATTAATAAAATGACCTATAGTATTTCTTGCCATATGAAATCCATTTGAAAAGTTGATCACAAAACAGAACAAGGACCCAGAAAGCTTCAGGTTGCTCCTGTGTTCAATAGTAAATGAATACAAACACTGACAATTTTAGGACTGAGTCCTTTTGTACCCTTTTTTAGTTTGTTCTGTGCACAGAGCAATACTAACCTCAGGCCCTGATGAGTTTTTGTTCCTGCAGATCATGTTCATCTTTAAAACTGCATAGAAGTCTCCTCTTGTGAACAATCCCAACACCAAGTGAATTATTCAGGGATTTTGAGGATATGGACTTGTTATTCAGCCTGAAATGGAAGGATTGAAATGCAAACAAGGAGCCCACGTGGGTGTGGACAGATAACCCATCTGAACTTACATGGCACATTTGCTATCTCTAAAATGAGAACAAGTGTATGCAGGTCACAGCATGAGTGTATCAATTGTGCATCAATGGTCTACAAAATCTAGTATGAATATGAAACTGCTTGTTTAGCAGTAAGATCTCAAGTGAGGCCATTTACAAAGGACTGCCAAAAAGGATGCAACAAGGAACACAATAGCCAGATTGTATAGAATATGAGAAAAAAGAGACGTGACAAGTTTGGCCTGCTGTGTTCCTAAAACAGCCATGATCGTGCCTCTGAAGAGGGTGCATAAAGTCAGAGAAAGTATTCATGCATTATGTAGTATTTTTGAAGTGTGGAGGATGCTTAGACACCTCCACCCTGGAAATTACTGAGAACATGCTGGCAGCATTTTCACGTATGCTGTTTTTCCACCCACCTCTTCCACAGAAGAAGATATGAATATGAAAGCTCAGCATAGGTGCGTTATGCAGCACATGTAAAACCGGTATCAGACCATGCTTATTTCTCTATTGTCATGGCACACAAGAGAGTTTGGCCCATGTGTCTAGTTTAGGATAAGGAAGGTGACATGAAGAGCACGTGCCAGAACTGTCCTTGGTGCTGTGCTGGATGGAGTAAGAGCCTGTGTCATGCTGTCCCCAAATAACCAGTTGTACCTTTCTCCTAAAAATAATCTTGCTGTGTCTTGTTCTTATGCCCTTCAGATGAGCAAGGCATAGGAGCAGGTGCAGAAGGGAGCTTGCATGTGTGCTACTCCCCAGACTAGCTGAGCTGGAGGGAAGAATGACAGTCTTTACACTTCAATCGTGTAGCATTTTTTCCCTCCAGCTCTTAAAATGCGTGTGTTTCTGTAGGAGAAACAGGTGGTATTCACAGCCCTCCCTCCCTCTGGAGATGGCCACTTGCCCAGAACAAAGCAGGTTGTTTCCAAACTGGGTAGCTTTGACAGAACAAAGTACAGTAAATCTTCAATAGCCTGATATTGTAAAGAGTGTCGTGCACTTCATTGGGACCAGCTTTAAATACTCTTCAAGCTCAATATTCTTTATCCTCTAATGACTACATATGCTCTTTGTATGTACTTCATACAGGATCCTGTTCCACAGTCTTCAGTACACAATAGTCTTAATAGACCCTACCTGAGTCACCCAGCTGCCTTGATTGCGGGACAGTGTTGTGATCAATAATGCAGTAGTTGTTCAGTTCTGTTTGCATGTAGCCTTGGTGAGTTAGGTGCTCACACAGGCTGGCAGAGCTGCTCATAGCCAGAAAGCTCAGCTCAGCCAAGAGGGCAAGCAGAACTGGCATCAGTACCTCGGATGCTGGCTGTAGCAGTTACCAAGCTTGCAGGCCTTCCAGCTGGGAGCACTGTTGCTATAAACAGGAATAGGGGTGCATGTAGATCAGTTGGCATTCATTTCTCTCCACAGTTGGGAGGTATGTCTTTAACCCTGAGCAGGACTTGGGAGAAGGCATCAGTACCATGAAGCAGAACTATTCAGCCATCCTGCCTTCAGCTCATCAGGAGCCCTGAATCCAACCTTGGAGGGGTGAGCTGATGGAATTTATCACTCAATGTTTCTGGTGTAGATTTGCAGAGCTGCACATCCTGTGCAGGGAAGCATCTTGGATAGTTTTTCACGCCGCAGCAATTTTGTGGGTTCAGAGCATTCACTTATTTGGATAAGGGCTGAATTACAGGTACCCTTCCGTGGTTTATCTTTCCTTCACCACAAATGCAGTGCATAATCTGCCATGGGGGATACCTTGTCAAGAAAGGAGTGATGTGTAATTCCTCGGTCCCACAGCACAGTGAAAGGCATGCATTGAAAATACACTGTTAGAGTCTTGCGGTCTGTGCACGATGCATTGTGCACCTTCCAAACAAACCTGGATACTGTCTCCACAGAGACATCTGTACTTGTACGTGCAAGAGTTAAAATCCTTTGTGTTTTCTGTTTGTCATGTGACAAATCCATGCATCATTTTCAGCAGGTTGTGTTGTTGCACAGCTCACCCCAACTACGAGTCCCTTGGGAGGGAGGATGCTGGAATGGATGCTTTGTTGCATGCTCTGATTGCAGTTCTGATGGAAGCTTGTTTTGTTGTACTCAGCATAAGTAGAATAAACATGTAAGCCTTGCTCAAGATCCTGGTGGAAGCATCAGATAGGTTAGCACAACACTAATTTAGCTGCCTTGACAGCAGTCTCAGGGGAGACGCAGAGAACGGGCCATGTGACGGCCTGGCTACTATCCTGCTCCTCACAGGCATCACTGCTTTTGTAGTCTTCTGGCCTGGTCTTCTGGGACGAGCAAGGCAAGTCTTTCCTAGCCATGCAGACGTGGTGAACTTGGAGCAAGAAGACCTGTTCCCTAGTCTTTGAGCAGATGACTATTTCCTTTGCATTGTTGAATTCCTTCACATTTCTGCTTTTCACAGTCATCCAGTTCTTTCTCTGTCTTGTCCCTGTCTTCTATATCGATGAACTACTTGCAACTTCATGAACATATCTATGGACTTTGTACCACTTACTGAAATACTAAAATGCATCTCAAGGCTATCTCTTGAGGAACTCTACCAAGGACTTCTTTCCTATCAAATACCACTTTTTAGTGCTGCCCTTTATCCTCTCTTTAGCTGTTTTTTCTGTTTTAACTAGCAGCGTCCTGGGGTTTTTCACTAGGGCTCCAGACATCTTGTGGACATAAAGTATATTAATTTGTTTCATAAACATGTATTGGGTTCCTCCTTAAAATATAAAATATCTCAAGGAAGTTGTAGAATCTTTTAGCCCATAATGTTTGCTTGTGCTTAAGAATCATTCCAGTGAAGGTGCCTGTCTGTCTGAACTCCCTGCAGGACAAGGTCGTGCTCTGAGAGCATGTCTCCATTTCAACATATTCATTGCCTGGAGCACAACTAAATCTGTCTTGCAGAAGCAGTTGGACCTAGAGCCTCTGGGCACATGAGTTTATTAGGCTCAATGAAAGGAAGCAAGACAATGACACTTGATAGATTTTATACATGATACACTTCAGGTATCCTATCTGTATATCTTTGACGTGCTACACGTAACAGATCTTACTTTGAGACCATTCTATAGAAAAAGCCTTTTCATTTCATCAAGCTTGTGAAAAGACCGTTAACCAAATGGGCTGCAGAAGGAGGCTGCAGCAGGATCAGACTTGGTTTCATTTTTCGAAAGGATGTAGCGTTTTACCCTTTCTGATTGTTCAGGCTTTAATGCTCTTTGAGTCAGGAATCCAACCAGGACCGCAGTTTGCTTCAGAGCATCTGCTGCTTGGTTCAAGTGGCTCCCACACATGGCGTGTGTGTACAAGGGAAGAGACTGCACATATATCTGCATGTTGTGAGAATAATTGCAGTCAGTCCTCTGAGCCTCTGGATAGCTGCTTTTTTTTTGTTTGTTTGTTTTTGGTTTTTTTTGGTGTGTGTTTTTTTTTTGTTTGTTTTTAAATTCAAGGATTCTCCTCACAAATCCATTCTTGGCTGAAAGAAGATGTTTTCATAGTATTTAAGATTTCCTGAACACTTTGATCTCTTCTGCAGAATGTAGAAATGTGCCATTCCTGTAGCACTTACTCCCTTAGAGGCATATGTCCAAGTACTGACTTAAGGTTGAGTTTCAAGCCCTGGCACATTGTTATAGTCTATCTGTCCAGGGCGTTCCCAGCAGCATTACAAACGTAGGTTTCATCCTGCAGTGCAGAACAGGTTGGGATTCTCCACACTATCATGCAGATCGTGTGACTTCAGTGCACATGGGTGAACCAGATTTATCATGACCCAGGGAGTTGTGGCAGCTCTGAAAGCAGGCCTGTACCCTCCCAGCTCAGCATGTAGTCAAAGCAGCACAGCATTGTACTCTGTTGGGCATGTTTTCTCCATTACTTATATTTGTAATTTATCTTCCTGCAGCTTCCTTGAAATGATGGAAGCCCGAAGTCGAGGACACACGTCACCACCAACAACTAATGGGCAAAGCCCTTCCTCTGGTTCCCAGTCACCCATAGTACCTCCAAGTTCCACATCGACAGGCAGTTCCAGCCCTGGCACCCCACAGCCACCACAGCCTCTTTCCACAAGCTCTGCCATCTCTCCTGAACCCCCCTCATCTTTTTCACCAGTGCCTGCACCTGAGGCTCAGCAGCCGCATACGCCTCTACCAGCTACCACCACTCCAGCACCTCCAGCTGCAGCCCCACCTCCGAAGCGCAGCATCATTTCACGTCTTTTTGGGACATCTCCTGCGCCAGACCCCTCTCCTCCCCAGCCAGGTATGTCTAGACAGGGTGTCACCCATGGGTGTTTCTCTGTTTTCTTTTCTGCTTTTCCACAGTGAGAGGCCAAGCAAACAGTTGTCTGAGAAACCTAGCCCCTGTTTTTGTGCAACGCATCCAAGGAGAGCTACATGGTCACTTGCTTCTTTTCTCCTGATCAGCGTTTTTGTTTGTCTCTGTGTTGGACTTGGACAGGGGCTGTTCAGCCAGCTGGACAGGGGCTGTAGTGTGCTTCATGAGGAAGGTACTAAGCACCCAGGGGACACTAATAAAATAATTGTCAGCTTCCTAGCAGGAGCACATACACCTCTTGAATAGCAAGAAAAATCATCAGAGAAGCTATTTGAAGCACTGTCTTCACAGAAGTCTGGCAGCTGAAAGGGGCTCCTGTGTGTTAACAGCAAGCAGCAGAGTGCTGGTTTTAAAGGTTATTCAGCCAGAAATGATCACGTAAGTCCAGGCTCTGCAATGGATTCCCCTCCAGGGAAATAAGCTCCTTTGAAGATGGGCTGCTCTCCTCCTCAGACGGTCTTGATTTCTTCCTTAGCACTAGTAAACAATGGAGCAGAGTGGCACAGCATTCAGTCCAAACCCTGGCTAGATGAAGTTGCAGGGCAGAAGCATTGAGAGGTTTGCTGCATTCTTTTTTACTGATCTGGACCTTAATTTGCCTGTCACATTCACTTTGTTTGTGAAGCTGACGGGAGTTGCAGAGCTGGCACTGCCTAAAAATTATTAGCGTGACATGGTTTGAATCACCCTTTGGAAATACCTTCCCTCTCAAACTGTCAATCCCTAGAGCTCACAGTACTCTCAAAACACCCACAGAAAGAAAGGAGGAGGTGCTGGGAACATGATTTGCAGTTTCAGATGTTGAAATCTTTCAGTTTTAGATTTGTACACAGTGTTCTGCATCCTGAATCTGTTACCAGGTATGACACAGTACACCCATTCCAGTTTGTTTATGACTCTTCCTATCCAGAAACAAACAATTAAAGAGGAGAAAATGTTAGAAATGCCTTGTTGGCAAAAAAATTGGTCATATTGATATGTATAAAAAAGGCTAGTGGTCTACCACCAAATCCAGCTCAAGACCTCTTTAGGCTTGTGGCCTGCAGTCCTAGGGTCTCTGGAGTGCTTTTTAGGAGGGTTGCAAAAAGCAGCAAGGAGAAAAGTGATCTGTTGTTGTTATATTTATGTAGTGTGCCAAGGGTCTGCAACTCTACAGGAACATGCCTAGGGACTAGCTAATTGGAAAGCAGTTGAAAATCACTATCACAAAGTAATACTTGGTGTTTTCTGTGGGAGCTGTTATTTAATCTTTACATTGAAGTCTTGCAGCGCTAATTCTTTTGGCTGAGTTTTTTCTTAGACCAAAGACAATCAGTGACATTAGTAAGACTGTTTTTCATATGCAGAAGTAAACTGAAAGCTGTGCTATTAGGGCAAAATCTATATTCATATAGAAAGCTTGCTCACCCAAAAGAGCCTAGGTGTGAAGTGCAGTCCAGGCGGAAGAAAAAGGTTTAATACTGCAAATCTGAAAATATTAATCTCTCTAGACTTCAAGTGTCTTTTGTCCCGATACCCTGATGATAGGTAAAGGTGTGTCTACACATAATTTGTGTTAAAGCAAATCTTTATTTGCAGTAGCTTTATTTTTATTTGCAAAAGCTCAAGAGCTTTTGGTAACATAGGGCATTTAAAAGCACAGTATGAACAATCCTGCCTTTGACAGATACAGTTTAAAAAGCAAGAGGAACTGAATGAGTGAACTGAACAGTCTGGAAAAGGTGAAAGAATAATGAAGGGACATAACACAGGAGTGATGCATACAGTGTAAGTACAAAAATCTGGTTGTGGTATAGTCAGTTGTGGTATTCACTGTACAGCAGAATCAGCTACCATTCTAAAGAGATTTTCAGACTCATCTAGGAGGCTGGATCAACCTTGTGCTTTGTAAACCACAGTGGCTGCACGAGGTCTGTGAGTGACTTCATGTGAGATTCTGGACTGGTTTCTGTATCCTGTTCATAGCTTTCCTCTTCCGTTGCTGCATAGCTGAGGTCCTGCTTTGTGGCTGTTATCTGTGTGCTGAAGGGGCCCTGGACAGGATAGATATGTAAAAATCAAACTTCTGTCTTGCTTGTGGTGAACTCAGTGTTTTACAACTACTGTTGCTAATACAGATGCTGCTGCTACTCCTCCTTCCCGTCCTGAAGCCCCTACAAAAGTACAGAGTGTGGAGGACTTTGTTCCTGATGACAGCCTGGATCACAGCTTTCTAGAAGACCCAGTTCCACAGAAGGACAAAGGGAAACTACAGACTAAACACTGTATTGATAGTGAAAGGTAAGGGAAAGAGGGTGGAGCAAGAGCAAGACAGGGATGTACCAGGATGTGCAATCTGAATAATTGCTCAGGCCTAGCTAACCCATTACAACTGTTCAGAAAGGGACTGCAGAGCAATTAGCTGCCCCTATTCCTTTCTGTCTGTTACTGTCTCCCTTTTAATGATACACACTACTTCCTGGGAATCAGGGGAATGGCAGTGAAAGCTAGTTATCACCTTCCTGGTTTTGCTGTCTTCATTTCATGACCAGTGATAAACCCATGGGTTGCTTTTTATCGGGAAGGGTTTCCGTTCTAACCAATGTGATGAAACGTTTGAGGTATTTTCCTTATGGAACTTGGTGCACTTTGCAGGATTTTTCTGTTTTGCCTATTGAACAACTTGCCGCTGCAGAGGCCCGAAGAATGGACAGGTTCCTTCATGGCCTGATACTGCCATTTTGGAGGCATTATGAGGAGGACTGTGGTTTTTGGAGGACTCTTGGGGGCACTCCATGGCTCAGCAGGATTCTGGAAGGAAGGATGGAGATGGCTGTGCTCCTTTGGAAATGTCTCTCTGTGCTTGCCTGCAGATTCCAGAAAAGCCTTAGGGAAGGCCTTCTTGTTCCTCTGTCCATTTCTAATGTCCCTTCCCAGTATCCTTCAAATGGGAGAGAGCTGAGCTTATGGAGGCTGGATTTTATTTTTTTAATTATTATTATTTATTATTTTTTTCTCCTAGATTTTTTTTTTTTATCTAAGAAAGGGATTGTGGTATACCAAGCTGCTCTGACAAGAGGATGTTCAGCAAAGCTGTCTGAAAGCAGGCTGTCATTTGAGAGGTGACCCAAGAGTACTCTCAGGCTCTATATCCATCTGCTTAGAATAGTCTATGCCTGCTGCCTCTTGTCATCACCACTGGATTAACTAAGAGAGTAATTAAACACTTACACAGCTTGTCTGTGAATCTGGATTCTGCATCTTTTGACATATTTGTTATGATTCAGTGTTCTTTGGTTCAACCACAACAACATGAAATCAGTGCTGTGTGTGAAGCTCAGTGCCTGCCTAATGCAGGTCAGCCTGAATCACCATCCCTTATGACAGTAGAACACATACGTAGATGTTTTTTGTTTAAAATTAAAAAAAAAAATAAGAAAAAAAACAGTAGTTGCTAGAAACATGCTGGCCTACAAAGTATCTTGCTTGCAGCTATGGCCAAGCTGGGTTATTTTTATCATAGAATCACAGAATATCCCAAGTTGGAAAGGACCCATAAGGATCATCAAGTCCAACTCCTGGCACCACACAGGTGCCAGGAGTTGGACAGTTTAGACCATGTGACTAAGTGCACAGTCCAAACGCTTCTTAAATTCAGACAGGCTTGGTGCAGTGACCACTTCCCTGGGGAGCCTGTTCCAGTGTGCGACCACCCTGTCTGTGAAGAACCTCTTCCTGATGTCAAGCGTAGACTTCCCTGCCTCAGCTTAACACCAGGGTCCTATCACTGGTGTTTACAGAGAATAGGTCACCTGCCTCTCTACTCCCCCTCACGAGGAAGTTGTAGACCTCGATGAGGTCCCCCCTCAGCCTCCTCTTCTCCAGGCTGAACAGGCCCAGTGACCTCAGCTGCTCCTCATACGTCTTCCCCTCTAGTCCGTTCACATCTTCGTCACCCTCCTCTGGACACTCTCCAACAGCTTAATGTCCTTTTTGTACTGTGGTGCCCAGAGCTGCACACAGTACTCGAGGTGAGGCCACACCAGTGCAGAGTAAAGCGGGACAATCACCTCCCTCGACTGACTGGCAATGCCGTGCTTGATGCACCCCAGGGTATGGTTGGTCCTCCTGGCTGCCAGGGCACACTGCTGGCTCATATTCAACTTGCTGTCAGCCACAGCCCCCAGATCCCTCTCTGCAGGGCTGCTCTCCCGTGTCTCGTCGCCCAGTCTGTATGTATAGCCAGAGTTGCCCCATCCCAGGTGCAGGACCCGGCACCTGCTCTTGTTAAACTTTATGCAGTTGGTGATCGCCCAGCTCTCCAATCTGTCCAGGTCTTTCTGCAAGGCCTTTCCACCCTCAGCCGAGTCCACAACTCCTCCAAGTTTGGTGTTGTCGGCAAACTTGCTCAGAACACCTTCTAGTCCTACATCCAAATCATTTATAAAGACATTGAAGAGGACTGGCCCTAAAACGGAGCCTTGAGGGACCCCACTAGCGACCATAAGAAGTTCAACAAAGAGATGTCAGGAGAGCCAAGCCTGACCTTCTTGGGGTTTGCTGAAGGACTGGGTCCTGGAGTGCCCTTAGAGCTTTTTAGCTGCAGTTCTTTCTGTGGGAAGGACGCTGGATCTTTAGCACAGGCTTCTCTTCTAATAAGCATCAGTTATTGGAAGCAAATAGGTGTACAAAACCCAAACATCTCAAGCAGTTGTGTAATGAGCTCTGCTCCTTGCCAGTAGAGTTGTCGCATTCTCAACTGTTATGAAGCCCTTCTGTGTTCTGTCCCCAGTCTTGGTAGCCTTCCAGGCATACAAGCTGGTTGGGGCAAAAAGAGAGTTACCTTTGGGCTTCCCCTGGGCACAGAGAGAACACTCATTCACAGCTTCATCTTTTGATGAACAGTGGTAATCATCTACTATTAGAATAGCTCTGTTTCCATGGGAGAAGACCTTGCAGCACATCCCTGAGATTTCAGGTGCTTGACACTTCTCTGCAGCATGGCATCCATGTCTTGCTCTGATTTCTTACATAGTTTGCACAGTTTTCTTGGTTGTCTGCCAATTTTACGTTCTGTTACTTGCCAAAAAAGGCCTACCATAATAAACCAGGCATGCTGAAATTCAGAGCTGCACTAAGTGATTCTGTCCGTCACCTGCAATAACAGATTTGATTGAGGATCCCACTTAAAACCCCACAGTGCACAGGAGCAGCATAAGAGTTCTGTAAGCACAATCCCTAATAATTATCCTCTACTGCAATAAGTAGATTATTGTAGTTGCAACAAAATCTGCTGCTGCAGATATTTATCTCGGACCTAAAGAACACAACAGTTCTGTGAAACCTAATAGAGATGTCACTGATTTTAAAAAACAGACATACTAGAAGTTGCATCCCCCTTGAATCTGAGTGAGGAACAAAGCCTAAGAACGTTCTAGAGAGATGCATTCATGTTTCCTGAACATTTTAAAGCAGAGATCTGAGTGTTAAGCTTACACAGCTTGCCAGCATTTCTTCTGGGTGTGTTAGGACCGAGTGTAATCTCCTAAACTGAAGAACCGTGTAAGACAGAGCAGGAAAATGGGCTTTGTGTTAAATATTCCTCGACTTAATTCTCTTACCTGAATAAGATATATTTTCTTATTGTCTGTAAGCAGGAGTCTTTCAGTTAGCTCATATAAGAAGCCCTTAGTGCACAGTGCATTTCATACGTGAAGCAGAAGTAGTTACTTCTTGTTATTAGAAGCAGGATGGTGTGTAACTGAACCGTGTCCTGAACTCAGTGTTGTGCTTGCTTCCATGTATAAGAACTTGCTTGCTTTTCCTTTCTAAGCTTCAAGAAGAGGTTGTAAATTTTGGTATTTCTCATACATTTTAGTTACATTGGGAATTCAGGGTTATTGTTTTCAGTGATGTTATGTGAACTTCTCTCATTTTGTATTCCATAACAGCTCGCTAAACAATGGAGCAAGAGATGACACAGAGCAGTGATGTTAGAAAAAATGTTTTTTTTTCTGAAGCATGCTAGCAGCAAGGAAAGAGCTCATGCCTCTGAAACAAAGAACTTCTTGCCCAATGATCAGACAACTGCTCAGACTTTCAACATGTACTGATGTCTCTTGGTGTTCTTATAGCCAAATCCCAGTGCAGATCTTAAGAGATTAATGGAGTCCTGCACTTTGTTTAATGGCATTTATGGTTCTCCAGCCTGCAGTAAAAAGAACTCACCAAATCAGTTTCCTTAGCAGTTGATTAGGAAGGCAGTGCAATTATTCCAGTTTGCTTCTTCAGAACTTATTTTGCTGCTTTTTAGCTTGATACTCAAGAGCCGGTGTGTATGTGACTGCATCAGAGGATCTAGTCTGACTCTGGACTGTCCCATTCCCTCTTGCTGGCTCAGGCTGTCCTGGGTCCATGGGTAAGCTGCAGGTGTCTATTTGAAAGCAAGTTTATGCTGATTCTAACAGAATTGCTGTTGAGTTTTCTCCATGTCACTAGATATTTATCATAAGCATTGATTAGACATCTTGTATCTAAAGGACTTCTAATTGGTTCTTTGCTTGTATCACCTCTGTTTTATACATAGTGGTATTCAGTTGTGCTAGACAAAGCAAGGAGACCTGAGGGCACTGTTTGGTGCACACTAGAAGACCCCCATTTCCTGGAATGTAGCCATGCAGGCTCACCCTGTTTTCCTCTTTCTCTAGCCTCAAAAAATAATGTGGCAAAAGGCTTCTGATGGCTCCTGGTGGGGCTGGATCCACTAGCTGTACAGCAGGGCTGGTGGGATACTTGTCAAGTGAGGTTTGAGAGCATATGCTCAGACTGCAGCAGGATTTGTTTCATCACCAGGGGCTGTTCCACGCACATGATGAAGGGCTCACTCTGAGGAAACCCTGATGCACTCTTTGGTCAGTAACTCATACAGACCTCCATGAGCATAGTCATTTTTGGTGGGTACCTGTGCCTGCAAACATGTTGGCTCAACACTAATGCAGGCTTGGCAGTGTATCAGGTGTTGGCAAGAGTGGTGCAATATGCTTGTTTTTGCATGCTCTGACTTCCTTCCAGCTGGAATCTCAGGACCACAAGCTGGTACTAATTTTGCATTGTGAGGCCTTGTTTATACTGCAGCAGTGATTTTCCTGACATATATTCACTTCTTTGCTTTGCTCTTAAGCTGTCGCTTAATGATTTGTGTGGAAGTTATACAGGGAGGCAGTGTATTCATTGCAAAGGGAGATGACCCACTTTGCATGTGTGTGTACACGCGTAGACGTTCTCTTCAAACTGGGAATGCTTTAGAAGCTGCAAGTCGAGTATGGTGTGCAGTCGAAGGACAGTGGCAATAGGAACAGTCTTATGCTTAATAGAGTGGTGACATGTTACAGAAATACAGTGTCACTTGTTCAAGATAATATGCTGCTGTTTTTTAAGGTGTGATTCCATTTTCTTTTCAACACATTTCTAGAAAAAACACTGCCAGTGTTTTACATACCTCAGAAATCTCTCACTTGGAGGCTGCTTTGAACAGCAATTTTCTTTTCCTTTGTGTGGGACAGGCTGTGTCCCTCCTTTCTGGCTCAGTATGAGAGCAGCAGTGTTAATAATGAAGGGGTTCTTAAGCAGCCTGCTTCTGTTTAGCTGGGAGCTGAGCTCTGAGTCCTGAAAGCAGAGGTGCATTTCAGGACTCAACATAGAAAGCAGGAGGGAACGGATGTTAGTCCTGCTCTTAATGCTGTTACCCAGACAAGCAGTAGTTGTAGTCACTGTGCTAGTTGTGATAAGCATAGTGCCACTTATGTCACAAATGCTACACTGTTGTCACAAACGCTGCACTATTCTTTAAAACTAACGTGTAAAAAGTACCTGGCCATAAGAAGAGCCCAAGTGAGTACTAGTCAGGTGGACTGTGTTAGGCCTTGGCATTTCTTATCCCATCAGCACAGCATCCTCCACTGTGTCTTTGTGCTGGCTGTCTGCTGGCACCATCTGCCAGATTGAAGATTGTAGTTTTTGGTGGTTCCTTTCATGACTCTAAAATCTCTGTGTAAAAGTAAATGCTGTGTTTGTACAGTCCTTATCAAGTCAAAAGGACGGTGGAGTGGGTATCATACACAGTAGATTGTCAGGAAGAAACTGAGTATCTGTTGCAGATAAAGCAAATAGAATGGGGGAAGGTAACACAAAGGTTCATCAGCTGAGACTGAAAAATATCTATATTCCTGACCTGAGTAAATCCATGAGAAAGTATTAAAATTGTTGAGTCCTGGGGAAATCCAGACAAGAACCTTTCAGCTGGTAATTTCAGCTGTGAAGCTCTATCAAAATGACTCTGAATACATAGCTGTATCATATTCATGGAGCCTGGCAGACTCTTAGCTCTAAAAGTGTGTCCTTAGGTTAATTTATTTTGGGAAATGTTAAAGCGTGGTTATGGTGTCTGAATAGCTGCCTGCTTCAGGGAACACCAGAAAAACAGAAATCATTCCAAGAAGCTAATAGCTGCAAGTGAATTTCCATAGTAGTGGCAGTATATGATCAGGCTTCATTACAGGATGTGGGCATCAGGACAGGTGGTTCCCACTTTTCAATTGGCTGATCCTTTTATGTTAGACCAGGGATGTTCTGTTAGAGGCCCTGTTGAACAAACAGGCTGCTCTACAGCACTAAAGCTTACTCATCTTAGCCTTGATTAGTAAAAGCCACTGTGTGACATCCTTCTGTGACGTGTTTTGGTACTGGGCTTGTGTCACCCTTGTAGCCTACAGGGAGCAGGTCCAGCGTGAATGGGGCAGTAGGCTGGGGGCACACAATAGGAAGACAGCAGCAGAACTGCCCTGGACAGGGGAAAGGTAGGCCTGAAATTGGCTATAAAAGCATGGCAAGTGGCACTGTGCTTTCAAGGGGAGGCATGTCTTTCCTACCGTGTCTTCAGGGTGCTATGTCTAATCATTGTCTACTTTGCAGTGATGGAGAGGCACCTGGGGGGAACCCTATGGTCGCAGGTTTCCAAGATGATCTAGACCTGGATGACAAAATCCCCAGCAGACCCGTGCTGGCAACAGAGCGAGTGCCCAGCAAGAATATCACCCTGTCCAGTGAGGAGGAGGAAGAGGTTAAGGACTCTAAGGTCATACCCATACCTGATGAAAGCATTGACACAGAACATGAAAAAAAAAGGTATGAAACATATCCTGAAGTGTGGGATTGTGCTGGCAAACTTGGGCTTCTTCTCAGTCCTGCCATTGACTTTTGTGCAGCTCTGTGGAATCATGGTATCTCTGGAGCCCATTCCTTCATCTTTAAGTTGAATCTGGATTTACTTGAGCTGGAACTGCTTTATGCAGCATCTTCTGAGGGGGGTTGTGGTACTAGTAGCTGTTGTTACTTTAGGTGTGATGCAGCTGTATTGTAGTGTGCTTTTGAGCACTGTGTTCCTTTGGTCACTGGTACGTTTCTGTTTGGGGATGGCCCAGCCTTTTTCTCAAGTTTGAACAAGAGACTGTAACTGAGCTCCTGAAAGTCTGTTAATAGCAGTGTGAGGAGGACAGAGGTATCAAGTCTTGCAGTGGGAGTGGAAGTCATTCACCACATCCTGTGCTGGAGAACGATGAACTGAATCATATTCTCCACATATCATACACTGTGGGTAGGATGATTGGATTTGGCCCACCAATGCAGGCACCTGTACATCAGCATTCTCAGAGACATGAGAACATTCAGCATTTGACTTACTGCCAGAAATACTTTCACCATCTGAGTGTTTTGTGTTCAAACGCACATACAGACACACACAGGATGAGCTACATCTCTTACATCTCCTGTTGAGATGCACATTGAAGCCCTTGAGGCATGTTCAGCTATTAATTGGTCGTTGTGCTTTGCTTCACAGACTCACAGAATGGTTGTGTGGACAGGCTCTGTCAACTTGTTTTTTTCTTCTCAGGTCTTCCAGAAATTCTGTGAAACCACAGAGTGAAGCAGTACTGACCAAAGCAACTGACCTGAAGCCTCCTGACAGTTTACCTCCACATTCTGTGTCTGAAAGAAACAGCAGCAGCAAGCTCAACACTAGTACGCCAGCTGCTGCCACCACCCCAGCAGCAGTCCAGGCCCCAAAGACCACTTCCCAAAGCAAAGGACATGCTCTCAAACAGAAAGTGGTCAAAGAGGAAAAGCCTGAGGAGTCTGACAGTGATCAAGAGGGACCAATAGCTACTCAAATGCTCTCATTTGTTATGGATGACCCAGACTTTGAAAGTGAGGAATCTGACAGCCAGAGGAAGAAAATGGTAAATAATATGCAAGAATCACCGTGCACTGCTGCAGTGTTGAGGCATCTCACTGAGCAGAGCTTTCATCTGCTCTGCCAGTCTCTCAGCAGCAGTCACAGCAAGTCAGGTGCTAAGCAACCTGAAGAAATTGATTTAAGCACAAACCCACTAACGCTGTGATTGGTGAAACCATGCAGCAACAAGGTTTGTGCTCACAGATTTTAACGTGCTGTTTATTCTCAGTAAATCCAGAGTGTGGTCGGTCAAGTAGTGTGGAAAGTATGAAATACTAAGCTGGTGGATTTTCACATGAAGTTTAATATGTAGAAGCATGTGCATGCTAGAGAGAGAGAAAAAGTGAGCTCCTTAGAGTCAATGCAGCAATCTAAAGGCCATGCCAAATTTGCTTGGCAAAGCTCCTTACAGAAGTAGGAAAATCTACCCAAGAAGAGGGGCAACCTTTCCATTATAGCCAGGCTAGCTGTAAAATGGCTATGATATATGTGAGCAGGAGTCCCTTCGGCTCCTGTCCCTAGACTTGTGTGTTATAGACCAAGATAATGCAAGCATCTTCTCTGTGCTCATAAGAATTTGCTGCTGTGAGTCTAGGTACTGGTGATTTCAGTGATCTGCACTCACAGCCAGCAGAACAATCTCTGTAGGAACTGAAAGTCATGATTTGGGATGGACAGTTGCTGTTCTGAGGTACCCCAGGTACCCCAAGTGTCTAGGCCAGCTGTTTTTTGGGAGTGTTTTATATGTTTGCATCATTCCACAAACCTGCAGTAAATACAGCTGTCCCAGTTTCTTTCACTGTTTGGTATGGGTCATGTTGTTTTTTATAAAGTAATTTTCCATTCGTTTAGTGTTTTAGTACCTGCTTTTCCTGGCATCTTAATATAAAAGCAAAACTATTTGGAGTAAGTTTACTTTTTGTAACTGTGATGGTACATGTAACAAATGATGATGAGAAATGGGATTTGTGAGAGAACTTGCTGTTGCAACAGTGTTAGGGAGATGCTTCAGAACTTATGAATGCTTTTCAAGTACAAGGTGTACTGGTAAGGTGAAGCAGTAAAAACACCACCATTAAGCAAGGAGGAGGGGAACACTGCCTAAATCATCAGCAGAGTGAGGTGTTTGTGGTCAGTTTGGAGGATATAAAGAAAAGGTTAAATTCTGAAGAGGATTAGTTGCATGTACAGAAGAATACTGAACTTCATTTCCACTCCCATTGTGCAGAGAAGCAAAGGATTTGGGGGGTAATACCTAGTCTCTGCAGCATTCTGCCCACATTGAAGAGGAAAATTTTCACTGAGAGCACATTCCCTTTTGACTTGATGAACAGATTTATTCTGCAAACACAGACTGCTTTCTTGGCCCTGCTGCATGTTGCCTCTGATGTGCAAGACCCCCCAGAGCTACACAGGAAGGTTTTGTCTGTCAAATCTGGAGTTGTTTTCAGCTATTTAGATTTGATTTTCCCCAAAACAGAGGTGCCTCACCAGGGCAAGTAAAGGCTGGTGCTGTTGGGCTAACACAGTTGAGTCTTTGATTTTGGTGTCATGAATGATAAGTTGTCAGAGTGTGCTTTCCAGGATCAATGCTATCTAGCCATTTTACTGTAGCAAGAAATAAATAGAGCTTACAGTATCATAGTCATTGATTTTCAGGCAATAACAGCTCAGTTCAGCTACCATTTCCTTCCCTCCTCCGCACATGCTGACATCTCTGTATACAAAATATTTAGAGATTTTTGTTTGAAAGACCTGTCTGCGTTGTTGGTCTTTTCTTGTCTCTAGGATGAATTCCCTGTCCGGGAAGATCTCTCTGAAATATCTGATGATGATGCCTCGTTGGCAAAGCCACCCCAGCCTGTGAAATCAACAGTCCACTCCTTTAAACTGAAAAATGACTCAGATCTCTTTGGTTTGGGTTTGGAAGAAACTGGTCCCAAGGAGAGCAGTGAAGAAGGTAATGGTCACACCACATTTCCACTCTTGCTGATTTTGTTTTTCAGGTGTCTTGTTTTTCCCAAAGTGGTTCCAGGGTGTAAGCAAACCAATTTGCACTAAATAAAATACCATGCAACTTCATGCAGTGCCCTGTGTGAGTCTTTAATGTGGTTTAACACAACATAAATAACTTTATGTTTTTCCCCATGGGGGTTGGGAGAACTTGCCTCATGTATGGCATATGCCATGTATTATTTCTGTCCCAGCTGGAAGCAGGAGCACATCTTTCACGAGCTGCTTCTGTAAGGCTTCCTGTTTAACTTTGCATGCCTGGGAACTGATGCTCAGCATTGCACTGTCCACCTCCTCGAGAATTTGGATCAATGTGAGCAAAATGTTTGGACTTACCCTGCCAGTTTCCTCTTCTACTTTGGGGAAAGTTGGGGTGAGTTTCTGGTTATAACCTAAGCACTCCTTGGGCTTTTTATTTTCCCTCAGTCTTCTGAGGGAACAAATTTCAGTTGTGCAAATGATTTCTGCTCTCTTGGCATTACTGCAAAGCATCTGTCCCTGATGTCACCCAGAAAGATGAAAAGTTAAAAATTTAAGGGGAGACAGAAGTGACTTAAGTGAGGTTTATCATTGAAAAGGTATTACAGAAGTATAAGTAAGGTATTACAGGCAGTGATGGTTTCATTGGCTTGTGATTTTTTGTTGCTGAGCAGCACAACTAGGAATAGGTAGAAGTGTATCTGCAGAGGCCGAGGTCAATAATTAAACTTCCATTTAGCACTTCTAATAATCCAGTGTGGGTTCCTCCTATCTCCTCTCTCTGGGATAAGTATAAAAACATACCTTGGTAATCCAGTCAGTTGGAGCTTGACCAGCAATTAGGGTTCTCAATGGCTGACTTGAATTTACATATCAACTGAGGGAAAGACTACATAGGTATCAAATACCACCTTGTGAAAAGTGGTGCAGCTACAAAGCCTCCTATGTAAAGCCAAATAAGTACTCTGCTGTTCAAGGAGTCTATGCAAAGTCAGTGGAAGTTCAGGAGTCAAATCAGTGGCTGAGCTATCAGCCACGATAGCCTGGAACAAATGTTTTGACAATGATAGGTTCTGGGGCTCATTTGACGCAGTGAAAATAGCCACTGATGTAGAGCAGAACTGCAACAGTGGCACTTTGGCCTCAGGGTGACATAATTTCCATACGCAGCTTGAACAACCAGTACTAGTTTGCTAGTCTGCTCCAATGGGATTTCCATATGCCTTCAAGTATTAAGTGGCCAGAGGCAAATTGTTCCCAGTAGCTCTTCTTCAGTTCGGGAATTAATAGTCTGGTGCCCAGTTTGGCCTTTAGACCAGTTTGCAGGTCTGGTCCCTGTATTTGTTTCTTCAGTGGCTGTGATACAGTAAAGACCCAGGTGTTCATAACACAAAATAAGATAGACAATATAATGGTCATAATTAAACTAGCTACATCTAGTCAAATTAGGACCTGTTGCTGGAACCTGTGTTAGTTTCTAAGGAGTCACAGTTTGTCCGGAGAAATAAGGATTGCCTTTGCATGTGGCTTCAGGACAGCATTTTGTTCTGAGAAATAGGTCAGGGCAGAATCACATGGCTTGTGGTTTGTGATGATTTAAAACAATATTTTTTGTTTGTTTGTTTATTCGAACAGATAAACATGCTTCTAAGGAGAAAAAGAAGAAGAAAAAGAAAAGCAAAGAGGTACTATTTAATTCCTCAGAGTTGATCTGCCATATATCATAGGCACATTAAAGGAGGCTGTAGCGAGGTGGGGGTTGGTCTGTTCTCCCATGTGCCTGGCAACAGGATGAGGGGGAACAGGCTAAAGTTGCGCCAGGGGAGGTTTAGGTTGGATATTAGGAAAAACTTCTTTACCGAAAGGGTTGTGAGACATTGGAACGGGCTGCCCAGGGAAGTGGCTGGGTCACCATCCCTGGAGGTCTTTAAAGGACATGTAGATGTAGAGCTTAGGGATATGGTTTAGTGGAGGACTGGTTGGTGTTAGGTCAGAGGTTGGACTCGATGGTCTTGGAGGTCTCTTCCAACCTAGACGATTCTGTGATTCAGTGATACTGTTTAGCAGCCAAGGAAAGGGGTAGCTACCTACAGTGTGCTCTGTGCACTGGGTGGACTGCCTTCCATTCTGGCATCCTGCAGCCAGAGCTGTGCTCCATGGGCTCTGCAGACCATTAACCACTTTGCAGCTTAAAAGCAAACTTTTAGAACAGTTGCCTTTTAAAAAGGCAGTGTGTGAGTTTGTAAAATGAAGAATTAACTAGAGCAAGGCATCTCTGCTGATTGGAGTATGTTATAGCACCATGGCTTTTTCCAAACAGAGGGTGATCCCAGTCAGAGCTAATCTCAGAGACAGTGAGGGAAGTCTGCAGGAGGCTTCATCTGTGACATTTCTGCTTGTCCAGTAATGTGGTATTGTCAGGCACAAACTGCCTGACAGACACATTGCTACATAAAAAACAGATGGTCTTTCTTCTCTTCTGTCCAAACTCACAGAAGGGTCCCAGCCAGCCTTGGTGGTAGATGCTTCTCCCTAAGTAAGGTTCCCATCAGAGCCAAGTTTCAGGGTGATATATGCTGGGTTACTGGCATGCTCAGAGGATTTACTAATTACAATTTTCTCATTTTGCAGGAAGAGGAAAAGTCTGTGAAAAAGAAAAGCAAACACAAGAAGAGCAAAGAGAAGGAGGAGAGCAAAGAGGAGAAAAAGAAAAAGAAGAAGAGAAGCAAGGAGAAAAACAATGAGATAGATGAACTGGAGGCTTTTCTTGGAGGAGGAGCCAGCATGAGCAAGCCACGAGGAGGTGGGGACTATGAGGAGCTGTAGGCTGGCTACCTGTACATGCAGCGGACTCTTCTGTTGTGGTTGTCTCCATCTTTTCTTACAGGTCACACCAGGACAGATGCAGATGTGTAAAGCTTTTTGCCATGTATTCACTCAAAACAGATCTGGCAGAACAAAAGCTTTACATCTGTGTGTGCTGTTCTGGTGTGTTCGTTACACAAAGAAAATGCAGCTGAGATGTACTTGAGTAAGGGGAAGGTTTAGGGCATGGTTCCCAGGCCCACTTCCAGGCTGTCATTTTGTCTCCTTCCAGAGATGCCCTGTTTGGTAGCTGGCAGGGTGTGGGGGTGAAAGGGACCTGCTTCCAGCTCCACCCCTGTTATATGCCACTCCTGCACACCTGAAGTTCCTGTCTTATTAAGAGGAGTGCAACAAAACATGCTGCATGAATGCAATTGTGCTCGCCTGTCTCAAGTCTTTAACTTTTTATTCTTCCTATTTTTTAATGAGAAAGGTGGTATTGGCCATTGCTCCACCCAGCAGTTGATGCTTTAAATCAAGCAGATCATGCTATGATACAGCTCTATAAAACAGCAGCCACAGGACCAGAGAGAGAGCGTGTGTGTGATTTTGGAGTCCTTTGAAAGGGACCTTTCTGCACAGCAGCTTAATTAGCACTCACTGGTGTTGCTGTTGGAATTCATGAAGCCCCATTGATTTCCGTGGCCCCAGTGTCTCAGACACTACATGTAAACTGCTATGCAGTTTGGGAAAACAATGCAAAGTGCAAAGCTAACTTGAAGAAGAGAGGGAAAAAACAGTGCTTTTCTGCATTTCCCACCCTTGAATTTGCATACACTAGAATCCCCTCCTTTTGGTACCTCTCAGGGACATGACTCTCATGGAAATGAAGATATCCAGAGCTTCAGAACTGTCTACAGAGCAGCGTTAGCATGGCAAGGCATTTGCTTCTCAGGCATTTTACAGTCAGGCTGTACAGCACCAACCGCCTCTCTACACTGAGAGGAACAACCACTGTAGCTCAGATGACCTTTCCTGGTCCAATTTGTCAATATCGCAGCTGTGTTTACTGGGCCAAGCCTCCCAACAGCCAGCGTGCTGCCCTTCCCTGCCCCAACTGGAGAGCCTCCTCCTATCCCATGAGTTTGGGAAGTCTTAATTTTTGCTTTGAACTTGTGGATTGGTGCCTCTTGAGCAGTGCAGGCTGCAGTTGGATAGGCACTACAGGCCAGCTGTTCACACTTGCCTGTGTCTCAGTGAGTCACCACCATGTTTGGTGGAGTTTGTTAGCTCTCCATACCCACTTCTGTTTTGGTTCTGGGTCCCTTTTGCAGCTTGGACAGTGAAGCTCCCTCCAGGTTCTGTGCATTCCATTAGCCTGTTGCATCCAGGTTAATCTGAGGTCTGGTTTTGTTCTCCCTCCCCTTTCTGTTGTGAATTGTTAGCCGTGGTATCCAAGCTGGTATTTGCTACTACATCCCCACAAAGCAAGGTGTTCTTTTGATCCATTGTCCACTTCGGAGTTGTCTTGAACAGCAGGCAGTTATCTGTTCTATTTTTCTTTTTCTTCTCCCCAGCCCCCAAAATGCACATATAACTGTTTCCCTATAAAATGAACTAAGTTTGCTGCATGAGCAGTATATTGTTCAGGTCTGTTTTCCATTAGCATTCACTATTTCTCTGAACATTACTACATTTTTTGTGACACTGTGGGGAATTTGCATGGGACAATTCAAACTCTGCACGCCTGGAGAGGAAAAAGTTGACGCAACCAAAGTTTGTGGCCTCTCTTGTGAGAAGACAGGCAGGCGTTCAAGCTTCAGCTGGCTGTGTTCCTGAAAGCGCTTCTGTTCTGTAAAGATTTTGGGTCATGTTCCATTTTGCATCAAAAAAAATCCATTCTGACTATAAAGCTCTGTTGTACAACTGCCTCTGTACATCTTCTTCTCCACTGCAGGTGTGTCTGCCCAGGCCCATGAGCTGCTTGTCCCTCCAGGATTCTTTCACAAAAGGACAGCCTTCTGTCACATCCTCGTGTTTTTGCATTCTCACACTTTGTGGAAAGGGGTGCTAAATTAAAAATCATTCAGAAAGAGTTGAACTTAAAAACCATGATTTTTTTTTTCCCAAAGCTGAGGTCTGTCCTGAGAGAGCTGTTGTTTCATACAGCACGTAAAGGAGAAGGCATTTTTGTTCAGCTCAGCCTTCTTGAGAATGCAGCTCATGGGTTAGCAGAAGGTTGAACAAGCGCTGAGCCCCCTAGAAATGTTTATGTTGGCATTGGTTTGTTTTTCACCTGGGCCAGATTTGACTACCAGTAGGAGCCTTTACACTCCCTGCAGCTCAGGTTCATTGTCAACACAAGGAACTGAGACAAAAACAAGCAAAGATGAATCATTTTGATCCAAAATTCTCCTTTAAAAGAAGCAGATATAGGAGCTCTCTTTACTTACACTAGAGACCAAGGAGGGCATGTGGCATATTTTGGCTTTGACAGCAAGGCCAGAGAAATCCTATGTAGTGGGTAAAGTGGGAGTGTGGAGAAGAATAGCAGCAAAAAGGCATTTTTTAGGCTTAGATTTATCCCTTTTCCAGAAAATGCTGAACTAGTTAAAGCTACAGAGTAAGGTGTAATCCAGCGCTGGCAAGCGTGAGTGAGGAGAGAAAGAAATAGACCTTGTCTGAATTGGGCTCACCCATGCCCAGTCTTTCAAAAAAGCTAAATATAAGAAGTATGTGTACGTGCCTGTAACTGTAGGGAAGCTTCTGCAGGATCACATTGATATAAATAGATCCTGTGAGTATCTCTAGAGTTACCAGTGTGTGTTTTTATCTGTTTGGGTTTATCAGTCATCCAAAAAAAAAAATCAAGACCTTAAGACTGAGGAGCTGCAATTTCTTATGATTAACTCTGGCCAGAGCTGCATGTTGTATAAAGTCTCATTTGGTAAAGAGCAGCAGGAGGGAGAAGTGCAAATTTGTGTAATCTGACGGTTTGAAGGGCCTGGTTCTCAAGTACAGCAAGGGCAGCACTGGCCTCGAGGGCTACTACTGTAGGCACACGTCTGAAAGCTGCACTGCCTGCTCCCCTGCCTCCATACTGCTGTGGGACTGAGATCCCATGGGGTGCTCTGACATGGTACAGTTAAATCTCAGCTTCCACTGTGCCCATCTGAAGCCAAACCATCCGTGATAAGTCATGAGAGGTAACTACAAGGTCCTGTTCCCACCCACTGTATCTTCCCAGCCAGGATCACTCAGCTGCTAAGTCACAGCTGCAACCTCCATTTGCTTGAAGCATTGAGCATTGGGCTGCCTCACCGGCCCAGGAGGAGAAGGGACTTGGCATCTGGGGGAGGCTGGATATCTGCTTTGTGAACAGGGTTATCGTTACCTGGGATAGCTGGTGCTGTGCTGCTAATCTGAGATGTGAATGGGAGTTATGTGCCCAGCATTTATTTTGGGGAGGGTTCCTTGGTATCCCCATCCCTGGAATGGTAACATTATGCTACAGTTAGCAGTTCCTGTCACTGTTGGCTGTCTCTGGCATATGACTTGATGCAGCTGTTGTGGCAAGACACAAGTGAAGTTGTACTCTGAGAGCAGGCTGATGTTTTGATCTCTGCAGGCTTTGCAGTGTGCCTTGTGTGCAGACTTCGCTGTGGCTCTCCAGCTGGGAGCCAGTTTCGGCAGGACCTTCTAGCTCACCTGCATCTGAATGGCCTGAAGCTGTCTGACTCCTCTGTGGCTGTACATCATCTCCTTGCGGATTCATCTGGTGCAAAGGCAGCATGTTCACAGCATCCTTCTGATGGCCCAAGTCTCCTTAGAACAGGTGGCCATCCCTGCTTGCTAAAGCTCTTGCTTGTGTTAATCTGTCACAAAATTCATCCCTGCAAGTGAATCAAGCTGCTTATCACTGCTGTCAAGCCATGTACCTGGCCCTGTGTGGCACAGTCTGTGCTGAAAGGACCAGGTTTCTCCATACCCAACCTGTGCCTTCCTCCATCCCTTTGTCAAAATACCAGGTAGAAAATTACCACAAGGACAGATGGACTGGTCATGGCAGTTCCAACCATCTCCAAAACAGCTCAGTTTCCAGCACCCGTGTAGGAAGCTGTACGTCAGTCTTCTGCCTTGAGGTTTAGGAGCTGTCTGATAATTGCCATCCAATTTTATTCCGGGCCAATTTCTGCTTATTTGTTCCTTTGCCAGCACTGTTGTTTAAATACTGCTCCACCTCAGTCCTGTGCAGACAGGGCTCGTATCCCAGCTCTGCCTCTCATCCCAGCTCTGCCTCTCTTCTGCCGCACAAGCTGTCCCCCAGCCATTCTAGCGGCTGTCCTTGGCACCAGCTCCACTCTGAGTTCATCTTTCTGAGGCTGTGCCAGTCCAGATGAGGTCGTGCCAGGGCTTGTACTTAATGTTTCCCATATAATGCATCTCCTGCTGCATCCTGGGATGGTGCTGGCTTTATTCACAGCTGTTTCTTGTGGCAGACTCACAGCTAGCAGTTGGCTGACTGGTGTACTGGGTCTTCATCATTCCCTTTGATTTATGATGAGCCAAGTGCAAGGAGTGCAATGATTCTGCACTTTGGGGGATTCAGTTTCACCCTATTTCTGCTGCTCCCATAAGGTCATAGCATGTTTTCCCTTGGCTTGCCAAGGCCTTGGGTGGGAACATGAAAAGGTTATCGAAGATCAGGTATTATCAGGATGCGAAATGAATGTGGGAACTTGCAGGTGCCTTTTGAGGAAGCCTGCTCTGCAGAGAGCCATACAGGCTCCTGGAGGTGCTGCGGGACCGGACAAACAGCTGGAGTGTGACAGGAGCTGGTGCAGGACGGGGCAGGCAGGTGGCTGGGCTGGGGACAAGATGTGCAATGACGGTGCTGTCTGCAGCTTCCCTGCAGTTGAGGGCCCTGCTCCTTGTGAGATCCTAGTGCTTGCCTGTCCTTCTGGGATGCCCCTGAGCTCACAAATGAATGATTCTGAGGAAATCCTGCAGTAGGATGGGCTTAGGGACCAGTTGCTGTAACCTAGCAACAGCCTTCATCATAGCATAATGTAATTAATCCAGAGTTGGCTCAGTCTGGTGCTTAAAGATACCAGGACAAGTGGTGGAGCCTTTTTAACTTGTGGTTTTGCCTCCAAAACAAGCCTTCAGCACCTCAGGCTTCCAACGTGTGCTTGGCCCTAGGATGGCTCACAGTGAGTATCCAGACCTGTCCTTCAGCCACTTTACAGAGAGGTTGCTGAGCAAAGAGAAACAATCCCCTGGTGCCTGGAGAGAGCTGTCGCACTGGAGCCCCATGGGCCCTACAGGCTTGGGCAGACCTTGGCCAAGTGAGGAGATGTGAAGTAGCTGACAAAGGTTCAGGTGTGGAGCAGCCTGCAGGAAGCCAGGACGTTGAATCAGGAGGTTTTATTTGTCTACACATACGCTGTGCTGAGAACCGTATGAAGGATGCTGTGTTGGGCCGCAACCCAGCATGCAAACCCATGAACTTGTAGTTACCTCCAAGTATTGGTTGGCTCTGACTGACATTGGGAACAAGGAGGGGAGGCTGGCAGCGTGGCCTCCTCTGGCAGCAGAGGTGAGATGGGAGGAGGAGGCTGTTGTGTTCCCAGGTGGCAGGGATGACCTGGGAGGTGCCGCTCTCCTCAGTTCCACCTTCCTGGTGTGCAGCCCACCTGTGCCCTTGTCCTGCTCCAGGCGGGCATGTGCGGGTGGGCAGCATGTCAGCACGGGAGCTCCGCCTGTACGTGAGGTTTGGCCTGGGAGGCAGATGCAGACAGAGACTGTGCTGGCATGTGCAGGCTGGCAGCAGGAAGGAGCCAGCCGGCTGGGAGAAGAGCAGGCTTCTCCCCGGAGCTGCTAGGAGAAACAGCCCTTGTACTGTCAGCAGAAAACAGTTCCAGCGAGAGGAGTTGGACAGGGGGCTTCCCCCCGGCCTTGCTGCCTTGAGCACTGCCCCGTTTAGGGGACACCAGCCCAGCACAAGGGGTTGGTTCATCCATCACAGCAGAGGCTGGTGGGCAGCTGATGTCTCAGGAGGGTAATGAGCAGCGGATGCTGGCATGTGGCACTTGGGAGGGCTGGAGCAAGGCCCTGGGTGCGCTGCTGCTGCACGCTCAGCCAGGACCCAGCTCCCACCGCCTGCTGGGGTTGCTCCTTGCCTGCAGGGCTGAGGGCACCCAGATGGGCTGCAAGGCAGGCTGCAGCTCCGTCCCTAGACCCTGAGGCAGGCAGCAGGACTGGCTTCTCCCTTGTGTCAGCTAGGGAAGGAAGACAATGGGAAGAAGAGAGAGGCTGGAGGAGGGCAGAGCCCCACCACAGCCAGCCCAGGCCCAACAGCTCCCAGCTCCTTGCTTCTGCGGCAGGGCTTGGCTGTTCCTTACTCAAGCGTCACCCCCAGACTGGAGGCTCAGGGCCCAGTGAGCATCAGCAAGGGGCCAGGCAGGCAGGGCAGTGGGCAGGGGTCCCGTCCTGGCCAGGGCATCCCCACATTGCCATGGAGAATGGAATTTCCCAGCAGCTTGTGGTGGTGATGCCTGCCGAGAGGTGGTGGAGAGAGAGCCTTCCCTGTGCCCCTTGCCAGGGGATGTGAGCAAACGTGGAACCCTATTTTCCCAAGCCTGCCTGTGCACCTCTCCCCCTCACCCCCACCTGTGGATGGGGCAGGGGACATGAAGGCTGCCAGCCCCAAGCTGTGCTGGCCCCACCAAGGCTGCTGCAGTCCCCAGTGGGCTTCAACGCACTGCCCTGCTTGGCTGCCCATGCAGCGAGGATGGTGACGGGGAAAAATTAGCTTGGAGTGAAGGGAGGGTATCAAATATTAATCCCTGCTGTAAATTCAGCAGTGTGGGAGGGAGACGAGCAGTGCATAGCACGCCTGGTACTTTCCCGGTACCGTGCATGAATCACACACAGG